ATATATATATATATATTCTGTAAAAAAAGAAAAAATATATATATATGTGTAGGTATATATAAAATTTGCTTCAGTATTTCTTTATTTCTTAGCAACGCGTTATTCCGCAATACAAATAGTTATGTATGTGTGAATCCCTTAGAGAACTAAAAATTACTTCGGCACGAATGATGCGCAGTAAAACCGGATACGAACGCCAGATACTCGCTAATATATCCCTTTCGATTGCGGAAAACCGGCGTTCTCAATCGGCTAAAAGAAAGAAAAGATTGTGAAAAGAAGCGCTGTTGTAAAATGATAATCGATTTATGAGGGCGGTGCTTTTTGCTTTTCCCTTCTCTAAAATTTTAAGGGTCCTAGATTAGTCTAAGGAAAACACAAAATCTTGCGCGTGCAATTAAGTATCTGTGACGTGACGATAATAAAAGCACCTGCGTTCTTTTTAAGCAAAAAATTCAAGAACCATTATAAAATTTTTTCTCTAAATATTCTTTTTTTCTTATTTTTTTTTTAAATTTTATTGTGTTTTCTATTTTATTGCATTTTTAAATGAAATTCAATTTAATTTTATGATATACAATCATTGAGAACATAATAGATTCGTAATGCATTATTTATTTATAAAATTAAATATCAATCAGTATAGGCCTATTAGATTATAAATCTATCAAATAGTTTAAAAAAATGGGGTAGTAGGCCAAGCTGGATGACAGTGATAGTTCTATAACATTATGTATTTTATTATAACATTAAAGTATGCAATAACAGCGCAAATGTTTCAATCCTTGACTAGCCCATTTTTTTAAATTATTTGATAGATTTATTTATAAATTAATAAAGACACGTGGACATAATTTATGAAATTACTAATAAGCTTTTCTTGAAATAGAATTTCTTAAATTAAATCCAAATGTGAAGGTTTTAAAAAAGAAAATGGGTTATACGTGAGGAAAAATTAGGGAAAGGAATTGCAACGCGCTTCCGCTCTATTTATCTTCGTCCGTTTATTCTCAGACCGGATCTAAGCGACATCGACGCCATCGATATATATTGGACCTTTTATTGTTCCAGTTCGATCTTCGTGGGAGGCTGCGCAGCGCGTAAAGATAAACATCCATACGCAAGAATAACATCTTCCAGATCCCTCTAATCACAACACTCCGAGGATACCCCGTACATAAGCGAGGAACACGGGTAAGAAAACACTTTTGATAGAGCCATCGGAAAAATGAGAGAGCGACCTGGCAATTCATCAAGGGAGATCATTATTCACTGAAACAGAGAAAACTAGATCGCGCATGTAACAATGCGGTGAATAATTCATAACTTTTGGAAAAATAAAAAAAGAGCTGTGTGCATTATTCGAAAATTAAATAGTTTTTTTGGTACGAATCTAATAAGAATGAATTAAATATGATTTTCACGGAATACCTTATATTACAATAATTAAATATTGTTAATAAAAAAGAATAAGAAGAACGAACAGCAAAAACTATTTTAACAAAATGAACAATGTATCGAAAATAATGATCATACGAAAAAAATTATCAAATGTAGCATTTTTAGCGTTAATAAAATTATTTAATTTTATCAATATTATATTTAATAATCATAAGGTTCTCATGAACAATTGAGCTAATTGAATTGTTTTATAAATATGTAATTTTATTCAGATTATTTTGATACATTCCACGCTGTTCTACAACGCTTCGCAATATAATCGAAAATAGAACAACTTGAGCTACGCTCGATTCTAATGGCACTTCGAGTTCGCTAGAGAGGATAATGTTACATCGTATACGCGTTACATAGTACTGCGAATGTTTTAATGATTAATATATCGATTAATAATCTCATTCAGGACATTCAGGAAACCCCTTTCTTGTATTACGAATAAATAGATAATACGATCGAGATTTACATGAAATTTTATCAAAAATTATCAACAAATTTACTCTCTAAATCATTTTTGGATGAACTAAAAAGACCTGATAGGAATTTATGCTGCAAAATTATTAATTTTCTTCGAAATCAAGGATTAACTTGAAACTTTTAGATTGTGTTTATTCCTTTTTTTTTTAATTCTAATATTGATCAATTTGTTTTTTAAAACTCAAAATGCTTTCCCACATTAAGAAGTCATTAAATTCTATACAGAACAAAGGAAAAGATTGGAACAGAAGCAATCTCAACATATTTTAATTCTTCGCGGTTATTATACTTGTCAGTTTCGAAGATAAAGAATATAAAAAATAATGTGACGGCATAAATTCCTATTAATTCTTCCTTCATCCAACTATTTTTAACAGAACGCAGAAATATCTCAACAAAATGTATACCATCGGCGAGATATACAAAAGTGGACGTTACATCTTACATGGAGGCACGTGTGAGACTTGCGATGCGATCCGATACTTACCGAGCAAGTTCGTATAGGTTTTGTTTATCGCAGCAATAACTTATCTTGATTTCAGAGCAAATTTAGCACGAAATTAACTCCTATTGATGATCTATGTGAAGTAAAACGTATAACGATTGCTCATTTATGTGGAGCCGTAACGCTGTATACCATATACAGTCCAAACCTTACTCTGTGATTGTGACGTATCTCAATCAGCTCACGCGAAGAATAGTACTGCGAAATTTATTCGACTTCTACAAAAAGTTATACAAAATATGACACGATATCGGCTTACGATATGCGTTTAGAGAGTGTGTTATCACTCGTAAAACTACGTCTACGTATTTATTGCCAGCTGGGAGATATATCGATAGGGATATCTGCCGTAATAAACCCGCAGAATATCCATAAAAGTATCTCTATGTGTAAACAGTACCGGCGAAGACACGATGTAGGTGGATAAATAAACTTGCATGTACAAACTTGCAACTGCGTGATAGTCTAAGTGTGATTCGAAGGCAGAAAATTGCAAAATAGACTCTTCTAATCAGAGTGATAAAATTGGTAGCTCGTAATATCAGTTTCAGCCAAAATTTTAATTCGTATGTTTCCATAACGCTGCATCGTTTAACGTTTAATTACTCTTCAAGCGACAAAACTTGTTTTTTTTTTTTTTTTTTTGCAAAATCGTACGAGGTAATGAAGTAACTATGCCAATTAACGGTATACTCGTTAGTCCGTTTACAGCGTAATTTGTAGTATCTTACCTCTCGCGCGTGACAGTTAATGACGATAAGAAATTTGTATCTTTAAAAATTTCTAAAAATTTACTTATAATTTATAATAAATACACAAAGCGACTAAAAAGAAATAACATAGCTGCTATACGAAATATAAAGTAGAGCTAAAGTTATGGAATACGTGTTAACAGAATATTTTACGTGCTTAGTTCGAAAATTAAATATAGTTTTTGAAGTAAGCGACGAGAATAATATATTAGTACAGAATTAAGGATGGACAGGCGTGAAAGATATTTGAAAACGCGTTGAAATGAGTATTTTCGTGTCAACGTGTATCTTAGTATTAAAATCTGTATACCCGTGTTGAGCTTCGTTTAATTAAAAGGCATAAACGGGAAGGAATTCTAAGATTCACGTTACGCTTTTCGTGTTACGTCCCGAAAGCATATTTTCACGCAACGATGATTGTCGAGCAAGCTTATCTCTACTAATGAGTAGTGGATAAGATAAGATGCATTGTGGTAAGATAACAGATGAGGTATGAGAGAAATTAGTAATAACCCTTCGCGGTCCAAATTATTTCTCGGAAATATGTGAAGATTAAGAATTTTGTCCTCAGTTTAATTTAATAAAGTTTACACGTGTTTTTTTTTTATTTAATAAAGTAACACTTTGTATATTATTCGAAGAAATTTATGGATGTTATAAAAATATAGTCTGCAAATTGTAATCGTGCATTTGATCATTTAGAGAACTGTTTCCAGAAATTGCCGCAAAGCATTATGTCGAATTAACAAAATATCGACGATGAAAATATCAGTCATGGAATTACAAGGGTTGAAAAATTAGCAAAAAAAAAGGGAAAACTGGAAAATGCAAGAAAGGAAAAAACGGTGTAAAAAAAAAAACAGTGTTGTATAGATTGAAAATATAACATTTGTCATGTAACAAGCAAATTTGAGCGTCACATAATGCAGTTGCGCAAAATAATCTAAAATTGTTAATTTTTGAAGTCACACGTCTTGAAAAATATTTCGATCGCGCATTTGAATCATTTTATCTACATCAAAATGCAGAGCAAATATCATCTATTTTAACTTGCAATCGCATTCCAGTCGATTTCAGTATTGTTAATAATGCAGAAATATTTCGCATAACAATACGTCCAACAAAATTACACGCGCTTAATTAGAATAGCGCTTAATAATAATAAATAATTATTTCGAAAATACATATGAATTAATGAACAAGTCTTATTAATAACAGTCGATGATCTATTATTGATTAATCTCTTTGCTTTAACGAAGATGCGTAACGACCATTGGTGAGCAACGATCGCAAATGAAGACTATGATGTGCACAAAGTTTTGATCGATAACAGTATCTTTACCAGTCTAGAATAACGCGCGAGGAATAATTATAGAAAAGCGACGTACGTATAATCAATATATTACGGTGAAAGTAATCATTTGTTCTTGCCAAATCGTACGTATTAATGATACTCAAAGAGTTCCAGATTAAGTACACATTATAAAATCGAATTAATTAACGTGATGATTTTATAAAAATCATGCTCGAGCTACTTGTATAAAATCATCGCGGCGATTTTTTTTTACAAAAGAAAAAACACTTCGGGAAACATTTTGAAATAAACGCTTACGTTTATCGATCAGTTTAGTAGCCGGCGATTCTATACACAATCGTCAGAAATTTCATGATGATTATTTTCATGCTTATATGTTAAATGCTTTCATCCATAGTATCTATAAGGCAACAATCGCGCTTTCGGCATGTACACATACTCAAAGATCGGTCACCGGTCCGGATAAGTTTACGCTACCGTCTATCACGAGAGTGATCTTGGATTCGCTCGCGATCGACGAGTTCTTGTCACTTCTGGACGTGTCCGGTCTTTCGTCATCATCGTCGTTGCCGCCGTCATCCTCCGCCTCGTCATCCGACGATGATAACGGCACCTGATTCGTTGGTTCCTCGACCTGGTCCTCGGGAGGAACGGGACACGCGCCAGAAGCCAGGACGTCGCGAATCCTGCTTACGGTTTCCGTGGCCGTGGCACCGTTCACCTTTTTACGCAGTATCTCCACCAGCTTCTCGAGTCTGATAAATTACGTTTCGTGTCACGTTACATTCGTTCGTGCTGACTTGGGAACGTGCCGGTTTTTTTTTCTCCACCACTAATGCATCCAAACATTTGCTAATGCATCCAAAGACTTGCCCAACAAATTCTTTAGCAGAGAGTAAAGCGAAAGTTTCAGCGGAAAGCCATGCTGCCGGCTAGAAAACAGAAGAAAACGGTGCGATTCGGTGCTTGCCATCCAGAAGCGTGCGCTAGGAGATCTCTCCGGGAGAGAGGAAAAAAAATTGACGGATCTTCGGAGCAGAAGGATTCATGCAAGAGCAGGATCGCATTCACCACAGAGTATTTATGGGAAAAAAATAATTTTGAAAAGAAAAAATGTAGTAACAATTCAGTGAAAATTTAATCTAAATTATCATTATTACTGTTTGATGTTAAAATTAAAATATGTTTGAATAAATCGAATCTAAAAAATAAATAAGAAAAAAGCATGCCTCTCGGTGATAACATCTATTTAGATTAAATTTTTATATTTACTTTAAATTATAGAAAATTATAGAGTTGTATATATACAAATCAGTGGATAACTTTCATAAAAATTGCATTCATAAATCATGCGGAAAATATGGCAACAGCAATTATTTCATCAAATTTTTTTATGGCGCTTAAGAGGATAGGAATATATAATGTGACTAACAAAACATAATGTATACAACAATGCAGGTACAATAACAGGTGTATAAAAAATATATATGTAACATATGGTACATGTAGAGAAGATATAATATAGATAAAAGCATGCTGATAAAGCTGATGCCATGCTGACAAATAAACGAACATTTAATTAACATATATATATTGCAAAAATGTAAAAATTTATGAAAAAATGTATTTATTATGTATATTTGTGTTTTTTTTTTTTTACATACATTTGATGTATATTTACGATTATCCCTACATTAGATAGAGAAGCAGATATTCACGAGTTAACAATGTATTAAAATTTCTGTAAGCATGTGTATAGCGAATAATGACAATGTCTTAAGGTGCATACTTAAATAGCAACTGGAGTAATTGCTACGTCGATCTATGCAAAGCCCTTTGGTTGTTAATGCTAATCAGTATCCTTTACCTTCCGTTCCATGAAAAAAGAATGATTCCTTACACCACCGATACAAAGCCACCTTGCTTATGTAAAAAAATATGGAAAAATACAGTTATATGATCACAAATGATTGAAAATTTCTATTTCTGATTAGCAGAAAGTCGTCTCTCTCCAATTTCCTTTTAAGGATGCAACGCTATGGAAACAGTGCTGCGAAATGTCGCGCAGAATTACGTTATTCCGGTATCCACAATAGTTTACTATATATTGTTCTACAGTTTAATTAATATTGCTAGCAAGTTATAGTCACTGTAAAGGGAGAAGTCGATATCAGAGTCGGTTATACACATAAAATTCATCATAAACGAAATTTCTGAAATTAAAAAAAGCTAACTTTCTTTCTCTAAAGATAACTTACAGCAATACTTTCAGCTAATGTACACGTGTGCACGTTCAAAATTACGAATCTCCTTCGGATACCAGGAATGACGTAATTCCCCCAAAGTGCCGGGGGCATGAGTATACGACGAGCGTGTACGAAAAAGCATGCATGACGAGTGAATAATAAGACCTACGTGCTATATTCGATATGTACATAGTAGTAGCCTCTAGTAAAAAGCCCCTTGAAGCCCCCTTTTCGCGACGGATATTGGCGACGAGTATGCGTGGTGTATGGCTTTCTTTTTGTCTTTTTTGCTTGGGGCCCCGCGCGTACGCGCGCAACCTAGATATAGGCGGTGGTGTAGGTGGCACGTGAAGGTGCTGTTTGGATTCTGGAAGTCAGGGTTCTCGTCGAGCAGAGGTCTTTCGGGACGATGGAGCCACCACCGATCACAACGACGTCCGGCACGTCGGTGATGGCTCGACTCGTGCGTTCGTCATTGGGAAAGCAATCCTCCTCGTCCTCGTTCGCGGTGTCGCAATTGCTCTCGGAGGAGCACGGCGGGGCCGTGTCGGTCGGGATCTTGGTGTCCTGGCGCAGATCCTTGTCGCCCTCGCTGAACAATCTCCGCAAATTGCCCTTCTTTCGCCGCGGTTTCTTAAAGCTGCCTCGCTGAGTATGAAACATTCTTTGCCAGAAACTGTGACTGTCCGAGCGATTGACCGACTGCTCCGTTTTGCTCAATTTATCCGGCAGATCCTTCTGTTCTTCAAGGACTTGAAAGCAACCAAGATCTTTCGCTCCGTCCTTTCCCGTTATCGACGACACTTTCGCTTCGTACATTGCGAATAGCTCAGTAAGTTCCTCTGAGCTAGCAGTCAATAGGCGCTTTTTTTCCTCCTCAGTCATCGTCGGCGGCTTTACTCTCCCGTCGTTTCTCGCGGTGTCGACGTCGCGCGCTTTCTGACCGAACGGCACAAAGTAATTGTCCAGTTCTAACACGGACAGAATTTCGCAAATAGTTTCCATTTTGTTCAAAGATCCGATTCCAACCGCGTTCGCGGCGCCGTCATTCGTACAAGTTACGACGGTTTGACAGGACAAAGACGTTTCCGACCATGCGTCGTTCTCCTTCGTCGGAGAGCCCTCGCGCGGGGACACGGATTCAGCCGCAAAACTCTGACATTGATTCGCCTTCTCGGGGACGAGCTGAAGAGCCGCCGCCACCTCCGCAGAACGGGGACGTAGAACGGAAGAGGTGGAGAATGTGTGCGATGCGGATGGGATGGCGGAAAGCAGGAAGCGAGTATCGGTAAGAGCGGTACGCACGGGGGTGCTGGTTATACAGGGCGTATCGAAAGTTACAGGCGTGACAGATCTGGATACCGCAAAGTTTACGCACTTTGCTGCGTGGTTCTCGGCCAGGGTCCTGGACGCCCGCGCCTCCTGGAGCTCCCGTCGCAGCGCCAGATTCTCCTCCTCGAAGACTGCGATCTCGCGGCCTTCATTGCTAGTGCGAATAGAATTGATTTTTCTTTCCGTTTTTCTTTCTTTTTTTTTTTAATCAGAAGCGAGCTTTGACGTTGATTGCGGGGAACAGTGAATCGATTTAATTGGAGTTGTGAGTATTGCAAAGTAACTTCGAGGATCGCGTTCATCAAGAAATGAAGCGAAGTGAACATACAGTTAGAATATAGAACGAGAAAAGATTGTTGTGAACAATGATACGAAATATTTGAACAGTTCATCCAAAAAGTGCTGATTCAAATGTTTCATCATTTGTGACAGACCTTTCACTTCTATTTTAGCCACGTGACTTTACCGTAGAAAGCGTTGAATGGGTCTGAAGCTATTGGATTCCAGATGACATCGTGCAGTTCGATTTTAAGCAACGTTTATAATCATAAACGAAACGACAGACGACATCCGACAGCCGCGTATTGCACACGGCTTATTGGACAATAATTGTTCGCCAAATTTGTCACAAAGAAATGTGTGAGGAAAAATTATGCCTGTGCCGCTATCAGTAGGAATTATGAGTGGAAAATAGAGCTAAAAATAGGAACAAACAGCTATGATAAACACGCCGGAGAAATAATGTATAATTAGAATCAGTTTTCCGACAAGCTTTATCAGATATACGCTGGAATGCTCTATCGTATTTTACCGCGCCTTTTAAATTATACACCGTCCGAGCGGTGTTGGATACAAAACAAATACTAGAACCTAAAGCAAGCTTTTAAATATTTACAAATGCTAAAAAGCTTACTTACGTTGCGCTCAGCTTCAACGTCGTCACTTCCTCCTCCAGTTTCGCGACACGCTGGTCACTTTCTTCTTTCTCTTTCATAAGCTTCGCCAATTGATTCTGTAACAAAAAGAATATAGAAACGTGGCGTATAGTCAAGTAAGATAAAAGCTAATAAACTATGATATTAAGTAGAAAGGAAACTGTCATCACTGAAAGAATCAGTCTAAGCAAAAAAGTCTTTTAAAAAATTACAAAATAATATTCACACTCATAGATCTATTGAGTCAACCAGTTCGCATATAATATATTCAGGAGAAATTTTTTAACAAGGCAAATAAAATCTTATTGTCAGTCCGTTCGTTTTTTATGATATTTCTTCGTTTTATCACAACTTCGTTGCCACTTGAATGGCAATTTTTCATTGCGTTTACGTAAAAAATTCACGATGACAAGTATAAATACTTGTTTTGTAAAAAATGCATGAACTTGTTATAGATGAAACTGAAATGAATTATTGTCGGTAGAATTATTTCAACCCTTTTTAAACTATTTCTAAACTGCTTTTATTTACGTAAAATTAACCTAACAAGCTATCGAACGTAATTGAATTCTTTTTTTTGTTATCTGTTTTAATCACTTTATCTCGATGTTTAAAGGTAAACGTAACACGCTGGGAAAAGTGTATAAAAAAAGGGGGGGGAGGGAAAGGAGCTGGCAACCTTGATCGGCTCTCACGTGCAGCAAAATTTACATGGACGTGGAGATGGAGGGTCCCGGAGGTTCAATTACGAGATTGCCAATATGCAAGCGACATGGCGGTGGCGGCCATCGCTTCGACTGATGAGGCTAATGGATGGTTGAAACCTGAGAAGAACGGCAAAGAGGAAAAAGAGGCCAAGGGAGAGGCCCCTGACAGCCACTAAGTGCGCTCCGTCCTCCACCCTTCTCAGTCCTCTCGCCCCCCCTCCCTTCTTCGCCTTCCTTTCCCGTCCCTTCGGTCCCAGCCCTGTGTTCTCTCTCGCCTCTGCAACACTCTGCCCGCTGCGGATGCCCTTATGTGAAACCTAATCACTTTTAGCGCGTCACGGATATTTCGTATTATGTCTACATTGCGTTCTCCGGTATCGGCCGACTTTATCAGCCGTCTCTCTATACGGCTCGACCTTCTCCCTCATCTCCTCTCGTCCCCATTCGTTCACGGAGTCAAGTCACGCGTGCAGCAAGCCCTAATCGGCTGATGCGTTTCCCAAGAAAGCGAAGTCAAATTTTTTCGAAAAACCTTGTGACCTCTTTAATATTTAATGTACTTTTTTTTTCTTCGATTCAAATGATTGTATACTCGTATATATAAAGCTCAAGTATTGTATATATTTTTATATATTTAATTTTATATATTTATCGCAATGCGCAATGTGTAATAAAAGATTACGCTTTACAATGCGATTACGAGTGAGGTTACAACAGAGAAATACAATTTGTATTAGATAATGCAACATCTTTCCTTCTATGTTGTTAAATCGATACGCATACGCGAATGTAGTAATAATGACGCATTTGCGTGTTTATACCAATGTATACAATACTCTAATGTGTATCACAATTACGTATCATCTAAATAGCCTATGCACGGAGAAAAATCGATTTTTCTACATAATTCATAATATATGATTGCGTTCACGTTTTTATAATTTTTTTCTACCATCAAAAGTATTTAATCTATACAGCATCGTAATAAAAAAAATGCATTTAATAACTTTATGCCTATTGTGCTTTTTTCAATTGAAAAAAAATATAGAAAAAATGCAATCATAAAAATAATCAATAAATGTAAGATTAACTTAAATAAATACAGCCACGAAAATCTGTCAAGAACAGAATCCGCAAAATGTCTACTAAATTTTGTCGGCAAAAAGATTTGATACAAGATATGTCATATATAATGTTAGCAGAATGATGGCAGAAATTTAATAGCCCTTGACATACTACACGGTTTGACGCAGATTGATCGTAAAAACAGAAAAGAATCTGCATTCGATAGATTCTGGTCAATTTTTGCAACTATTCTGCTAATCAGATTATATCAGTAGCTCCTGTCGGCAAAATATGAATTTAAAACGGATGCAATTGATATTTTGTTAGTAATTTCTAATTGAATATGCTGCCAATTTGCTGGCAGCGGACAGTTTACTTATTGAGAAAATTATTAACGGGATAAGCAAGTAAGTAGGAATACACAAACGAGCGGAAGTAAAATCAATTGTACAGATTTCGCATATGTACGATAACCGAGAGAAAGAGAGAAAGTTGGACAAAAAAGACCGATAGGTACCACGATCACCTGGCCGTCCTAATCAAACAGAACGTAGGAATGTCTGTGCAAACACTATGTCCATGATCGTGACCCGGAAGAGCGCATGCCGAAAATATTGAACGGAGTCATATTACCGTATCCCAATCGCATAACGACACGAGTGGCACGAGAAAAAAAGGGGTCCACTGCTTTTATTTTCTATTCCCATATTCTTTTATGTACGAGCTTTATAACACACATATACGTATTTCTTTAATTTTAATTTTTCAAAAGTTTTTCTTTCACTAATTTATGGTCTGTCGAAGGTTGTCAATGTGTACTAAATAAAAAGACCAGACTAACATAATAAGATTTGCTCCAGATTAAAAAGAAAAATAATATTTAATATTGCATAAAATAATCTCAAAATGTTATTAATATAAGTATATGGACTATCCTATATACTTATTATTTTATTTATAAAAGATTATTAATTTTTTAACATTTTTGTATATATGATTGATTCAAAATAAAATAAAATCAATTAACATAAGACTACTGAGAATTAGCGCAATAATTAGAGTGCAATTAACAATGTACAAAATAAACAAACGTTTCAACACTTTGGATTCACCTCCAACATAGTATAATTATAATTTTTGACATTCTTATATCTGCAAAAGCTGAGCCACTTTTGAATTAACAGATCTAAAGTGGAATCATAGATCAATAAGCTGATAGACTAATTAATATCAGACCTCTAACTACTGACAGCTCTTTTAACTTTGGACCTTTACTGTACTACTTTAAACGTATTGAATATATTGCGGATCGTATTAATCGACCGGAAATGTATTAGTCCTGCACTAATTTCGTATCGCGTTCCTTACCTCTTTAAGTGCAATACTTGGCCTGCTCGGTATTAATTAGTCCATCAGCCCGTTAATCTCAGATTCCACTTTGGACTGGTTAATTCGAAAAAGTAGTTTTGCAGATGTAGGAAATTGTAATTATACAATCGTAATTATACAATCGCTGACGATTCCAAAGTAAGTTAAAACATTCATTTGTGAAGAATTTATTGTACTTTATATATTGTTAATTGTACTCTAATTACTGCGCTAATTCTCAGTAGTTCTATAAGTGTTAATTTTATTTTCAATCTATAAAGTTTTTTAAAAATGATTTTTATTCGAAATAAAATAATTATTTAATAAATGCATGTAGTTATTAAATATAATTCAACTAAAACATTATTTCTTAATTATTTCTTAATTATTCTTTATTTTCATCCAAAATTATATATTCAAAGATAAAAAAATATGTTATAAAATTTGAGAAAATAATTTTAGTATGAAATTATATCGCAATTAAACATGTTGTCGTATTTTGAAAAAAATAATTACTCTAAATTATATGAAATATACATGAAGAATATTATATTAATATGAAGAATAAATTAATATATACATACCTTTAACTCGTCGATTTCTTTTGCTTGTTGATTACATCTTTCTTCCAACATAGATTTGATTTTTAAAACTAAACCTTCTTCACAACTCCTGTTGGCTTCTCTAATTTCACGTATAAGTTCTGAAACAAATAATACAATAATATAGATATCAAAGTGATGTAATGATCCCATATAATAAGTTCCATAACAATGTGTGAAATTAGTAACAAAATTTTACAATTATTCTCTACCTGATAACATTCCAGGTTGGTAATCCGCAGGAGTACTGTGCTTACTCTGCGCCAATTTTGATTTTACAGTCTCCAAATTCGACTTGGTTTCACTAAGTTCTTTAAACAGTTGGCCGTTACATTTTTTTAACTCCGTCATCTGCAACATAATATTTGAGAGAGATGTACAATAAATGTAAACAACGAAATACATTTTTGCATTTCAAGGAGGTCCAGGAAGGTCGCTACAAATAAATCCATGTCGCCAATAATAGAAGATGTTTAATCCAACGTGTACTTCCAAAAGTAAATAGAAGTTGGACAAGTACAAACCTGCTCGATAAGCGACAGGACAAGCTTATTGCTACGGCTAATTGTCGTTATGGAGCTCCCACTCCCGACACTGTCGGAATCGTCGCTGTCCGAGTGAGCCGAGTTCCCGGCGGGTCCCAGCCCGGGATCGGAGTATCTTCTGTGCTCCGAGTTGAGCTCGTCGCCATTGACACCGCTGTCTTTGTTCGCGGTGGGCGGTAGGCTGGCGAAATCGCCGTTCTGAAGGGCGACATGTACGGCGGACTCCAGCACTCCGTTCTCCTGCGGATTCCCGTAACCGTTAACGACACCGCTGTCGGCGCCGTGCTGCTGACGAACGTTCGCCAGATGCTTGTTACAGTGATGCCTCTGCCTACTGTGGACGGTTCTGACGTTTGGCACCGGCATCGGCTGGTACATTCTGTACATCGCCGGCAGCGAGACCGGCTGCATGGCGTACGTCATCGGCATCGGCGAGTAGCCGCATACGCTCGGGTCCGACATCGCGGTGAACAGGCGTTGCCCGTTGCCCGGCACGCTCTGCGCCACGTCCGTCGGCTGCCAGAGCATCTGCCGCGGGGGGGGATACTCCATACCAGCCACCAGGCCGCCGTCCTGGCTGTTCTGCGAAGCGCTCGGCGACCACGTGTCCTGTATCGTGTCCAGCAGGTTGCTCCTGCGGCTGCCGGATCGTCTCTTGCTCCTCCTCGAGTGGCTCGGCGGCGTCTGACGCGGCGGTCTCGGCGGATTCGACAACCTGCGCGTCAGTCGTCTTGTTTACATCAAACGAACATAACCCCCTCGACGGAGGGAGAGTGGAACGTGAGCGAGACTCACCTCTGCTCCATCCCGGCGGGTGACTCGATCCGCATCAAGAGGTCCTGGCTCCTCGCACAAGCGCGCGCGACATCCGCGGAACGGGGACGTTAGGCGGGGAGTAGTCGACCTGGCGATCCAGTTCTCGGCCGTAACGGCACGCCGTCGTCGCGAGATGCTCCCCGAGCTGCCTCCTCCAGCGCGATATGACAGATCGTACACCCACACGACACCCTCGGCACTACCCACCTTCGACGACTCGCGGCGCGCCCGACCGTGTCGCGCGCAAGATGATTTTGACCCCGTACAGCTCTTATCGACGCTCGTCGTCGCGGCGGTAACGCGACGAGGGCCGAGAAGACGAGCTGCAGGGGAACCGACGTTTTGTCGAAACGAAATGAGATCGTCTGGCCGCGTCTTCACACGCATGTCACGTTACATACACACCCGCGGTGGTGACACACAGGTGACGATTTCACACGCGAGAAAAATGATTTATATATAAGGTCGCATGCGTGACCGCGAATCGATAACAACACTCTCGAAACACTCTCGGGATTTATCCCTGGTCGATAACTCGACGCGACCGACAGCTGATTTCCGCGCGCGGCGCGACCATCGATACATGCACGTGCGACAATTTGTGTGTGTGTGTGTGTGCGGCGACGTAACCTCAAAGAGAAATGGCAGCCGCTGGAAAACGGACGGAAAATGAGAGAAACAAGCCGATCTTTTGCGAGCTGTCCGCCAACGACCTGGAGCCGGAGATCACGGAGATCGAGAGCCTGTGCGTGGAGTGCGGCAAGAACGTAAGCGAACTCCCCCCCCCCGCGTTGATCCTGAACCTAGCCGATCCTTTGATCCCTCTTGATCCTTTGATGTTTTCAAAACATCCCACGGTCTTGCTGTTTGTATCTCTGAGTTGTGCATCTACGCGTAAAATATTATATAATACTCTACGTTTACGTGTAGACAACGTAGACTATTGTAAAAGTGTCATCTATGTAGACAGTCAGTAGACCATATATTTATTTATTTAATAAATACGTATAATTTATGTAAAAAAGAAATTACCATTTGAATAAGAAAAATTCTCCGATTGCATTCTTAATCTTAATCTCGTAGTTAAATTAATGTTCAAAATACATGAAGAATATCCTAAAGATGCGTGGTATCTCTAGCCTGTTCCTTGACACATTTTGGACGTTTCTACTATGGGTAGAGACTGCTTTATAGCTTAATTCTTTTATATTGTACATATTAGTGATACAATTTACAATAGTTTACAAGTCTAGATTGTCTACGTAGCAAAAAGACCATATAAACATCACGTAGATTTCACATAAATAATCTGTGTAGACGTAATCTTGAAATTTATGGCACAACCCTGTGACAGACAGCGAGATTATCTCAAAATACAGATACGAAACAAATAGTTTTTAAGAATGAGAAAACTTTTCACGTTAGAATGCATATTCCCTGAATGACCACGCTATTTTTATTTTTCCTGGCAAGGGGATCACCCGGCTGCTGTTGACGAAAATCCCGTACTACAAGGATGTGGTGCTCATGTCCTTCGAGTGCGAGCACTGCGGCTGTCGGAACAACGAGATACAGAGCGGCGGGAGGATAGCGGAGAAGGGGATCAGAATAACGCTGCGAGTGGCCACGTCGCAGGATCTGAATCGCCAAGTGGTGAAGTCCGATTACACCAGCATTCACGTGCCACACTTGGATTTCGAGATACCCGCCCAGTCGCAGAAGGGCGAGGTCACGACTGTGGAGGGGATAATCGACCGGAGCATCGGCGCGTTGGAGCAGGATCAGCCCAGGCGTCGGGAGGAATTTCCGGACACCGCGGTCGAGATAGATCTGTTTATTGGCAAATTACGCGCGCTGAAGACGCTGGACGAGCCGTTTACCGTTGTCTTTCAAGATACTTCGGGAAACAGTCATGTGGAGAATCCGAAAGCGCCGCTCAAAGACAGCCAGTGCACCGTGACGTATTTCAAAAGAACGAAAGAGCAGGATCGCGTATTGGGAATTTACGCCGACAATGAGGATGTCTTGCTTAAACCCATACAGGAAGGGGAGTATCCTCTGGAACAGATCGAGGGTGAAGTGCTGTCCTTTCCCACCAATTGTCCAGACTGCAACAGCCCTTGCGAAACAAATATGAAACTGACGAGTATCCTTTAATTATAATCAGATCATAAATTTGTACTTAAATATTAGGAATATTATTAGGATATAAGATTAAGGGGTAAATCTCAGTGTGTTGCACTGTTCAGAAAATATTTTATCGACTTGTTAGCCAGTTGGAACTGTTCAATTTTGAAAACATGAAATTTGTCCTTAATATTCTTAACGTTAAGATATACCGCACTTCAAAGAAGTTGTTATAATGGCCACGCTATGCGAGTCCTGCGGTCACCGAACTAACGAGGTGAAGAGCGGCGGTGGGATCGAGCCTCAAGGTGTCAGGATCGAAGTGACGATAACAGGTAGAGACGACTTCAGCCGCGATCTACTGAAATCCGAAACCTGCGACATGGAGATACCCGAGCTCGAGTTGGAAGTCGGCCCGAACATTTTGGGCGGTCGATTCACGACCGTCGAAGGGATTGTGGCAGCGATGAAGGAACAGCTGTCCTCGTCCACAGCTTTCACCGGGGACAGTAGTGATTCCGAGACCGTGAACAGGATGGAAGCGTTTATCGCACAGTTGAACGAAGTTTTGGACGGTCGAAGAAAAGTGACCTTGATTCTAGACGATCCGGCCGGAAATAGTTACGTGCAAAGTCTTACCGACGATGGATTATCTGACGATAGATTAAAGATCACCAAGTACGATAGGAATTTTGAGCAGAACGAAGAGCTCGGTCTCAACGATATAAAAGTCGAAAATTATTAGGTTGTCTACTAAAATAGAGAAATGAATATCGCGCGTTTACGGTACAAATGTCATATGATAAGAGTAGCTCGACTGCTTACACTCGACTGCTCTAGACTGTTTTTATAACAATTTTATTGTTGAAAGTAACTCGTGTATCTTGTAAATATAAAATTTTATATTACTTCCGCACAAATCCACTTCAATTGATAATCTCTATTTTTAAAAGTCTTTTAATAATTCAGTCTTCACCTGCTTGTCTGAAAAAGGGGGAGAAAAAATTTTCCTCTAAACTTAAAGTCACATAAAGCAGTTGCATATACAAGAGAATATTAGAGAACGCATACAACACGATCGGTATCGCGTCGAGCTTCTTCAACGCAGGCAATCGCCTTACGACTTGCGCGCGCCACGATTCCGCGTCCATGTTCTCGCATATAGGATTGTTAATGAACAGCAAATCTTGAAGATTAGGTATCTCTTGCAGGCGATTGAATTCCGCCCAATCTTTCACCAGATTGTTGCCCATATATAAAACCTTGAGCGCTTTGAGAGCACCGACACCTTTGATCTTTTCAATCAAGTTATAAGATATCCACAACTCCTCCAAGTGGTCCCCAATCGCCTCCAATCCTGAGAACGTTTTGATATTGTTTCTGCTCAGTGACAAGATCCTCAGATATTTCAACGAATTAATACCACTGATCTTTTCGATTACATTTGTCGATAAAGATAATTTCCTGGGGATATTTGAAAGAAATAATTTAATCGATCTACGATTTAACCTGCATAAATACGTCACGTCATTTCGTTAATTCATTAGAGGAAAACTCGTACTCGACATTGATTAGCGCTGCCAAATTGTTATCCATTCTCTCGATTGGAGGCCACTGGAAGGATAAAATTATCTCTGTCTGTTCGCCCGCGACCAGTCCTGTTTTTTCTTCCCATCTTTGAATGGCCTCCTTGCACGTTGTCGCTTTAGCCTATACAATTTTAGATTTTATCTTTCAAGGAAAAATGTAATTATTCAATTATTTAAAATCTATCAAATCTCTACCATAATTTTAAATCTCTCCAATAATTGCACAATATAATCCTAACTTTTCAGATTAATTGGTATAACAACGTGAGTAAATATATAAGAGAGCAGATATCAATGAACATATCGGCGAACACAAATAGCACAATTCCTAGAAGTTACATGAAGAAATAAATAATATATATAGGGTGTCTCAGATCCTCTGCATTTCCTTTCAAGAATTCTTTGAAATATCTTAAGACAAAAATTCTAATACAAAAATGACAAATTAGAATAATTTTTAAATTATTATTAGCAATTAAAGTTCACGAATTATAAAGTTGACATTTCGCGCATTCAGGCATAGTGATCGATATGGTAAATTTTATCACAAATCTTCTTTTAACGTCGAAATTATCGTGCAAATATATTTAATATTTTTATTCAAAAATTATTTCTAAAATTTTGATTGTACACTCGCTCACTAAAAGGTTGCGACACTTTTTTTTATAGGTTTCTAATTTATATTTAATATACGTAATATATACTTTATAGATAACTAATATTTTGCAAATGCAAACCACGATCTACTATCTTTAGTCTAAAAGCAATATAACACCAATCGTGGTCCGCATTTGCAAAATATTAATACGTTTTGAAACCTATAAAAAAGAAAGTGTCGCAACCTTTTAGTGAGCGAGTGTACATACAAGGCAAATGAACGGATAATAAAATTATTTGGACAACTGACATGTAATATCTCACTATTGAAAACAATTAATTTTCAAAATTTGCCGCGCACACGAATATTTTCATTACCTCGACGTCCATCTTACGAAAATGTTTTCATGGCACAAAATACGAAATGGACAAAATTAAAAAAAGTAGTAAAATTGTTGCATTAAATTGCAAAGAAAAAAATATATTGAAAATATATTGAATATCTTATATTACTAATAATCTTAACGAGAATTAAAATTGACAGGATTGGAACTTGGGAGAGAAAAGAAAACTTAAAATGAAAATTTATGGCAATTAATTATTATTGTCTTCGACCAAAGTATTCAAATAGACATTTATTGCGCACCATCAGCGTCATCGATGTAAAAAGTTAATTTCTTTTTTGTTAACAACATCTGTTATTCACTCGAGATCGAAAGTGCTAAGGCAAAACTCGCGTCGCACCAGATCAAAAAACCGCGGTGCGTGCCACACGCGGAAATCGCCGAGGCGTCCACGGGCCGAATCCGATCCGGCCAATGGCCATCGCGAACACGCGCGCGCCGTATGTCGGGCTCGTTGGCTCGCGGTCTCCGCGAAACACGTTGATACGCGCGACTGGCCGTGATCCGGGCTCGCGCGAGAACGTGCGTGCGTCCGATTCGATCGTGCGTGCCCGATACCGCCGATAAAATGCCAAACCGGAAGAAGGAGGACAAGGTAACGTCTACCGCGATAATCGCGGTCGTCGGCCGTTCGCCGTCGCCGCGTTTCATTTATTCGCGGAAAACGCTCGTCCTATCCGGTGAACGGAGGCAGTGGTGTGGTAATGAAAACGGTGGTGGTGGTGGTGGGGTGGTGGTGGTGCGCGAAACGGCGAAGAGGGAGGGAAAGAGAAAGGGATAGCGGAGTTTCGCGCTGCGGGCGCGAGGGCGAGCGAGACAGACCGACTCCGGCGAGGAAAAGAGAGAGAGAGAGAGAAGAGCGTTTCGCGCGCGCGGAACAGAGAGAGAGGGAACGGGGGAACAACCCCGGCAGGCGGATCTCCTCCAGCCACCCGAGAGAGGATGTTAGCGTGACTCCGGTTTCTTGACCCGATCCCGATTCCAAGTCGCTCGCTCGCTCGCTCGCTCGCTCGCTTGCGCGCCCAAGCGAGCGCGCGCGCGCGCACGTTTGCGAGACCGCCCTCTCTGTTCCGCACGACTCTGCCCGTGCCGCCGCCACCGCCGTTCGGCTCTTCTCGCCACCGACCGGGATTAATCGCGCGCGCGTTGCGCGATCGGTCCGTGTTCGGTTTTTCGGTTCGCCTCCTGCCCGCAGCCCCGAGTTCGCCGACGCGTACGTCGCCGACGGCTACGACGACGACGAGACGACGACAACGACGACGAAGACCACCAAGACGCGTGCTACTGCTGCTCACTCGGCCGCGCGCCCGGAACGAGCGCAATGGTATTAAGCACATCCAACCTCGTATATCGTCTCAGACCGTGCGTATTTCTCACCGACGCTCCCGCTGTCACGCTCTCTCTCTCTCTTTCTCTCTTTCTTCCTCCTTCCCTCTCTGTGCGAACTCTCTCTGGTCGAACGTCGCGAGTGCGAACCGCGAGTGCGAGGAAAAAAACGGTCGAGAATCCCAGCGCGATGCGCCCCACGCCGGCACTCACTCCGCTTCTGTTCCAGGAGACGGCGAAGAGCGGCAAGGAGAAGACGAAGAACGGCAAGGATGTCGACGCCGTTGACGAGGTGAGGTTATATTGCCCCTCTCTCTCTCTCTCTCTCTCTTTCTCTCCCTCCGTCTCCTATCGGTCTCCTGCCGTCTCTCGTCGCGAGTCCGCTCCTGTCATCGCGGATCGTCGGCGCGTCCGCGGGACGCCGCGTGCCGATTTACGCAGGGGTCGCGCGTCCCGTTTCGACGGCCGCTCCACCGGGAAAAACGCACTCGGCGAGCCCCCACGATGACAGGTCGGCCGCATGGCCGACCCGACATCTTGCATCTTTTACTTGCTTTTTGTCCGCTATCAACGACACGAGCCACGTCCGTATGCGTGCGCACCGGATGTATTAGAATATTTGGATCCTTGAATACTTTGGCTTTTCGTGAATTTTTTAAGGACTGATAATGTCGTGAAGCGGCCCCGTTGAGAGGAGATATTCCAAGTTGTCTTCGCGACAGAGCTGTCTTTGTAGTACATTAGGTTGCGTCGGAGTCTTATGTGATAATGAAGTCTTGGGAAGAAATAATAGCACATTTCCTTCTTCGCGCTGATAAGTTTGTCGGCTCGTGTATATTACGGTACAGTTGCGCCGTTTGTGTAATTTGTATTAATATGACTTGTTGCTTCCTGCGACTGTGATTATTGATTGTGAAAGAATGTTTATATAACCAATATTAATAGTATACTGTTATGTTATAGATAACATCCGTCAAAGAAAACGTAATTTATGAGTCTGGAGTATGACAATGAGAATGCAGGAAGTGAAAGAAAAAGACCGTTCCATGGTCAAAATTTACTTTCCTTCACGCGAATCGCTTTACAAATGCACAAATGTGATTCACGCAAGATTCGGATTAAAACAGACGTGAAGCACAATCGTACTGTATACATCAAACATCATGTATGTTTTAACAAATATGATCCGTAGCACACATTTCGTTTATCAGTTATATAACTTCTTTCATGAGACTATGAGCCTTTGATTAGAAATAGTTGATTAGAAATAAACAAGAATATGTCATCCACAAATTGTGGATGACATATTCTTGTAGTTAAATTTTTGCAAATTTGACGTAGAAATCTTTCTCAGATGTCGAAGGATTATATATATTTTTCATACGATGGAAGGATATTACATTTTTAATATCGTTAATTAAGCTCCCATTGAATTAATCATTTTGCTATTATTCTTTAAATAGATATTCTTTAAATAGATATCATCCTTTCCTGCAAGTTAAACATATTCATTCATAAAAAATGATCTTGTGTGTGATGTTTATCAAAGAATAATTAGCGAGAAGAATTACTATATTGTTTTAATCTGTTCAACTTGTTTATATACTAGGAATCTTATCTATATATTTTTTTCTAATAGCAATAGAATATTTTGTCGTCATCCTTTCTTCTCGTTTTTTTACTAATAACTGCTTAGCATCGAGACCGATAAATATATTTTTAACACCGGTTAAAGCTAGAAATTTATTGTGCTTGCGAGGCACTTATGATTGATATCATTCAATGAACGATCTAAACGCGAACATTATTCGTCGAGCAGTCAGATAACGAAAGTTATCGTGTCGGAGTTGAAACTGTTCCGAACTAGATGGCGCACCTGCGACGCCAAGACTCGTAACTATAAAGATAGGCAATGTTGACATCCAAATAATCAATTTCAAAAAATAATTTTCCATAATAGTATCTCGAAATCAGTAATAATCGATTAACATGTAATTTATATATTTATAGATCTTTATTATTGAATTAACAAAATTTAATTTCGAAATTACAATTTGACTTGAATTGACAATCAATTCAACTGATTTGCAGCAAAATTTCTAATTATATATATCGTTGTTCTCAATTTAATCTTCTTTTTTCTAAGATTAATATTTATTCGGTGTTAAAAACTATTGTACATAAAATTAATAATTCTACTCATTTATTCTATTTAAATTTAATTATATAATAATTCTATTAATAAAATATAAATATTTTTTTAGTTAACTGTCCATTAAATAGATCGAGGTTTTATTAAAGTCACTCTAAAAGTGTTCATATACAATAAATAAGAAATGAACGTAAAAAAATTAGGAACAAGGAATTAATTTTTATATAGTCATATTAATTGAATAATTTTATTTAATATTTGCTATATGTCAATAAAGTCAATAAATTTAATAAAAATTAATAACACTAAACAGAAAAAGTTTCGACAATAAATAGGGAGTAAGTAAATTTAAAAACTAATCTATTTCTTAACAGAAAATAATCGACATCGAATGATCGACTAGGCGTGTATTTCTTTTAATGATCTTGTAATGGACACCGTAATATTACAAAAGGCACGGCGACTCGTGTTTATTGATACAACCAGGCAGCATAATAAATTTTCTGATAGCAGTTTAACTACTAGTATGTTTAATGACATTTTTTTTACTACGATAATATACAATATTTTTCATATGATAATATTGTAAATTGTAAATTTAATTTTAACCATTTCAGAATTTTATGTTCTATCTGTCGAAAAAATGTAGCTTTAATTTCGAATATATATATAAAATTTAAATATATTCAAATATTTTTTTAACATCAGCAATGTATATTCACACGATTTTTTTAGACCGTAACTTAATATCGTAAAAAATTGTATTTTTGAATTCAATATATTTTACACAAAATAACTTTTTTTTTATATATATAAATTCGTCCGATATTAGTGATGTGATGCAAATTTTTATATAGAATAATAAAATTTCGGAATCAAATTGCGCTCGTCTTCTAGGAAAATTCAAAGTTGCACAGGAAATCATTTTGCATAATTCGTTTGTTCCCCTTACCGCATTAAGTTTATTTTCGATCGTGCATTAATTTTCGTATCTCATCGATATAGGATCGATATCGCATGTGAATTTTGCACGTAACGATAACGTGATGTTACGTAAATGTTTATTTGCATCATTAACATACGCGGTTTCGCCTCGCTCATTCCGTCGACTATGACGATCCTGAGCGAATTGCGCTCTTTTACTACTCCACTTTATTTTTACAATACGTTATATTTGGATTACGCCATTATTTATTCATCAAAATAATATAGAATTTGTCGCAGATCGATCGCCGATGAGTAAGCCGGTAAAGCAATTATCGAAGAAATTGACACCGCGCACAACATCTTAAATAATTACTTAAAGTAAGAATCGTTCCGGTATAGATTTACCATCTTTGCCTTCCCCCCTTCCTCTTACTCCCCCCGTCGACGATTAGTACAGAGGCATCAATGGCACGAAACACGCATTGATCTGATGCCAAATGTTACACATACACACACACACATGCATACTCGCGAACACAAACGTACATACACACGTACCTGCGTGCGCACGATTATTATGGATACTTGTGCTATCATTTGACGCCGCGTCCGCCACGTGATTGTGTCGAACTTTATAATTCGTCGCGCAAGCTCTCACACGATGATGTATACGAGGAAGTTTAAGTTAAGGGCTCGCGTGCTCTGCTTGTTAAGAGACAGATTTTGTCAACGGCGAGTTCGGGTACGTAAGCGCGGCGATTCTTTTTATTTTTTTTTTTTTATACTGGCAGCGTCAGCTGCCGACACCTGACGACGCGGCGTCGACGTGCACGTGACGCGACATATTTCTAAAATAAGTGTCGCAAGAAAAATTATTATGACGGAGCTCGGCGTGGCCGTGCGAGATGCGCTATGAGTATATAGAAATCGCATTTGTACGTTCGCTCGAAGTGATGCAATTTGCGCCGCGCATTAGCACAAACACTTTGTATATTACATGTGCAGTATACATGTTGAACCGACACGCGGCTGCCGTTTTGCCGTGGCGCTTTTACGCGCAATTTTACAGGCGATCCTTACCGAAATTTTCCGTGCTATACGCGACGAAATGGCATCGATAAAGCAGCACAATAATATAGGTGAAATACAAGCGACGATAACGATAAAGTAAAACAGTAAAAGTAACCGTGATCGTATAATTGAACGCTTCGATTTTCTTCGAAGTTTCATACGAAAATGTCTCTTTTAATGGCATTAAATCTATACCATTTTTAACTCGGCAATTATTCTGCATGGCTGAATATTTTATCGAGTAGATGCTCGATAACATTTGAGGTTTCAAAATATCCCGTCGAAAGGGAGAAAGAGAGAAACGATCGGAATTTTGGACGCGGCGAAAGCATGTGTCCCGTTGCTTATTTTCGCGGGGGACTGTGGATTTTCTTCCCCGCGGCGTCTGCAACGCTCTCGTTAATGAGATCACAAAAAATCTCGTTGGTTGTCCCGCCTACCCGATAAAGCCAGCCATGCGGAGAAGAACGGCATGTCTCTTTCTTTCTCTCTCTATTTTGAGCGGCGTGCAAATAGAAAGCGGGCTAATAATACTCAACACTGACGGTGCCTTCCAGGCGCCTCTGTTTCGTGTCGACTTTTTCGGCGACTTACTGAAGGAGCCAGGTGTGCGAAAATGAGCTTTACCTTTTCCGAGAGTAGTAGAAATTTTGTAGCGAGGGAGTCGACAAATATCTAAGATGCAGAAAAGAAGAAATGCAAGGCGCGCTCGAAATAGCATGAGATTCTAGGGTCATGTTCAAGAAGCAGATAATATAAAACATTTGCGTGTAAGGTCTTTCCTTCCTTTTTAGGATTTTGATTAAAAAAATTAATTTAATGTAAGTTCCGAAAACTAAAAGAAAATAATTTAATCTCAAATATATTTTTTTTACTATGCTGTAGAATATAAAAAATTTATTATAGAGATAAAATCATGGAAAATATTTAACTGAATATTAATCTATATTGTTAATTAAATATTAGACAAGTCTAGAACGTACAAATTTCATCCATTACAGCAACTCTCGAACTTCATTCAGCGAAGGGCTCGAGAAGTTTTAAGTGCTTTTTCCGATATGGCGATTAAAAATTGAATAAACGCTTGAGAATAATTTCACAAAAATACGGATAAGAAGTTGAGCGTGGGAGTCGACATAGATATACACTCAAGGGTTGAGGGAAGGGCGATGATCCGTGGGTCACGCGCTATAACAGCAATTTTCACCTTGGAATTCCTCGATCGTTTCCGAAAATAGGCCACGGCCGGAATAACTGTAGCGTCAGTTCGGCCAAAAGTTATGCTCCCCGTGAAATCGCAAATCGACTTCCGTGCCGTGCGATGTATAATGGGCCCACTCATATGTACGATTATTTGTTAGATTGACGTGCAATAATGGGGCGGGCACATTTAGCACGCGTCACCGTAAACGCGATGATAAATTGCGGATAGGCCGTGGTGGCGCGATGTCAAATAATCGCGATAATCGATTTACGGAAAATTACCGGGCACAATGTCTAGGAAATGATAGAACGATGCTGTAAATATTCCGTCGAATAACTGCAAGACTATATGTAATGAAAAATTCGTAACGCTAATGTCGTGACATCCGGATATCGGACAGTAATCTTCATTAGCACGGTAATATTTCTACAGTATGAAACAACACATTTATAACGAAACCGATCGTTTTTTTTTTATCGAGGATCTCCAACAAGCGGGAGGTTAATAGAGGGAAATTAATACACGTCGAATAATATCACGCTGTGCCGATATAACAGTTCGGTTTATTTATTCGCTTTTTTCTGGCTCGAATTTAATTGCATGAGATATAAGTTACAATTGCTTTACCCTTGTATATCTTTCAATGTTTTAACACTTAAGAAAATTATAATGACAAAATTAGCTTCTTTCCGCGTATAAGCGAATTACGAAATGCGCCGTGACAAAGTGATCGATAACACGCAGAAGGAAATACGACTGTTGCAGACATTTTATGTGAGAGTTTTAGTTCGTAAATTATAAAATCATTTGCATAGAGTACAAAGACGGATTTATCGTTATTTTTGGAATTTTGCTTAAATATAATAACCGATTGTTTAATCGTTTTGTCGGATGACACTTATTCGCATCTATGCAAGTTAAATTATTTAACTTGCGATGATTTTGAAAATAATCCGTTATTTATGTGTTATGCCTGTCGGATTGCGACGCTTTTCTCTCATATATTTCTGCCTCCCGTGATTACGATATATGTTATCTCGTAAAACGAGAATTCGGAAAATTGCTGTTTAACATCTGTAAATTTATTACGTTATATACACGCGAGATTACGCGTAAAATCATGTCGCGTATTGTAGATAGGTGGAATTTGAACTGGGCTTCAAGAACAATTGGATGTCTCGTTGACAAAATATGTGGCGGACACGACGTCGTCTTTGTCACCCGTTAATAACGGCATGTGACTACGACAAGCCGGGCGGTTTCTGCATGGTTTTCGCATGCACGACACGCGTGCATACGTTGCACCTCCCACAGGTATTCACAAATAGTAACCGGGCATTGTCGTTTCGTCACGCGGCGCCTAAAGCCGCTTCATCATCATTGTTAGGAAATAAAGTCTGACAGGGAAGAGCGGCGTGTACAAAGGATCTCGCTGCGTTCATAATTGTTCTATTGACATGTGTTTCTGTTAATACTGTGCAACAATATATCGCCCGGATAAAGGCGCATGTCATCTGTTTATTGACAATTATTATCATAACGAATATTCCAATAAATTTCGAGAGTTTGGATTACAAAATAAGAACTGTTTACTTCTCAATTTTTAATATTTCAGCAAAAATAAATTTAAACGAAATTGTTTTTACATCAATATATTTTATATAACTTAATACAAATCCTTGTTTTTAATGTAAAACTCAAGAAAGATCTTGAAACTGGTTTTTTCGCATCTTTAAGTTTTAAGTTTGACGCTTTCTGAACATTAAACATTTTTCGTATACGATTTAACTCTATAATAAATTATTACTGAGAAAAAATAATTTGAATTTGAAAAATTTTCATTTGATGACATGAAAAGTAAAAAAGAAAATCCATGTTTTCGAAATTTTTCCTTCGTTCAGTTCACCTTCTCTCCAGAGAGTCTATGGCTGATCCGGACGCAAAGTCTCTTCAAAAGCTAGATGTAACGGCAGTTCGTTTTCGTTATACCTGTCGTGTTTTTTTTGTACCATATATTACCTGCGTAACGACAATGTAACGATAACGACACTGTCGTTATCGTTAAACATGACAGAATCTAACTACACGGAGAGAATTTTTTTAAGTTTACCCTACAAATCATGTTAATTGAAGGACAATATAGTATTTAGGCAAATTTTACTGTGCACTATAATAAATTTTACAGTAAAATCCCACATAATATTGTCCCACAATTAACATGATTTGCAGGATAAATTAAAAAAAAAATTCCATGTCCTCTCTCATACCGATCGTACGAAAACGTCGGGGAAAGAACTCGCATACGCGTGTGCATATGTGTATGTGCCGCGAGATAAAACGTAATTCCTCATAATTGGCGTGAGGGTTAAGGTCGTACGTGGTGGCCTTGAACGATCGGCGTCGATCGGACGGCGGCGGCGACGACGACGACGGCGGCGTGCCGCGAGAGCCGATCGCGCTCGCCAAAACCTGCGGTGTGTGTACACGAGAGTGTCGCAAGTGGCTGGCTGCTGCGATTCTCGGTCACGAGTGCACGCCTGCCGCTCGCCTCTGACAGTGCGCTCTCGTCGCCGTCGCCGTCGCCGTCTCCGTCTCGGACTCCGTCTCCGACTTGCGACTCCAATTCCGATTCCGACTCCGCGCCTCTCGGACGATCTTGGGCGTCGCGACGTCGTGACGCTGTCGCTTCGCGTTTCTCGTCTCCGCTTACGCGACATCTTCGCTCCTCTTTTTCTCTCTCTCTCTCTCTCTCTCTCTCTCGGCCGCTGGCAACGCGACCAGGCGAGTTCTCGCCCGAAGGGACTCTCTCTCGCGCGCGGTCGCGCGAGAGAAAACAGTGTCGTCGACGATTTCTCGAGCGAAGAACCGGACGACGAGGTGACACGTTCCTCCTTTACGGCGCGTCGCGAGTAGTGCAAATCCCCGAGTGCCTTTGTCCGTCCCGCCACGCGAGGGATCTCACAGAGATCAGCCCACGAGAATATTCCGCGCTGGACATCCGCGTGGGGAATATTTATATCCTCCCGCGGGGATACCGCGAATACTCCCGAGTTCCGCGAGGAGCTCCGAGGAAACGCCCGCTTTACGCCCGTCCTCGCGACGACCGACGACTCGCGATCCCTTTTGCGCGCGTTCGACAGAGCCGTCGCGCTCACAGAGAGTTATAGTCGATGTTTTATGTATGAGAGATAAATAACACTCAATCTCCGCAGGTGAGACAACTCTATCGTTGCGAAAGTTGTTTATCTACCGCGATATATATATATATATATATATATATATATATATATATATATATGTGTGTTTTTGTTCATCGTCGCAGAAAATTACGACTCGAAAAGCTTGTAGAATTACGCTGAGAAAAAAAGTAAACCAGAGACCGTGTGACTATATACGAAGCCACATTATTATGAATAATGAATATAAAGTTACGATTATGAATAATTTATTAATACGACTTCTAATCTTGGAAAATTTATTCAACAATATCGCGGTATAGAGGATCCAGGGAGATATGAGGACATTTAATATGAAAAATGTAATTCTCGTGAAAAATTGTATAGCGATATGTTATCGGTATTAAGTGTGAGTTACGTCACGTCCAGGCTTCTTTTAAAGATGGGGATACTGGGAAATATTGAGTTACAAAACATCGCGTGACGGCCAGCGACAGAAAGATAATATTTACTCTCTCGTCACTTTCGATTGTCGACTAAAATACTCCGCAAGTGCGAAGCGCCGGATCCAGTATATAGAGACCGTCGGCGGCTTTTCCTAATCTTGGATAAGGGGGGAAGGCCTACTTCTCGCCCAGATACTTCGTTCCACCGGCTTATTTTTGTCACACACGTCCGCGCGCGTTTCGCGCGTAAATTGGTTGCGTATAGAGAATCTATCCGCGTTGTTGCAAATAGATCGAGCGTATGACACGTGCAACCCCATTATAGTAATCGCTGAAATATTGTAATTTATCTTGATCGTCGAGCCGAAAATTTTACAATACAGTCGCGAAATCTATACGAATGTTTTATCGATCGATCGATCGAGGAGATTATATAGCTCGAGAGTCGACTTCGTCCGCGAGAGTGTGAAGTCTCAATGCAAGTCTTATCTTCCACGTTTTTAGAGAGAGGACGATTTTCGGCCGACATTTCGCGCCGATGCACTCTTATAACCGGAAAATCGGTTTGACACTTTTAGACTTTAGAGCGAAAAAAATTCCCAGCACGTTCCCCCGAGTTATTTCGCGGAATATTCTCAGGCATGCATTCGGGGATGCACTCTCAGGTGCCGGCGGGAAGAAAGCGGATATTCCCGGTAGTACGTGAAGTGGATCGACTGTTCGACGGCTGTGTGATTGAGATCCTCTTCGTCCCGTGAGGTGGGAGGATCTCGCGAATGCGAGAATCATGTTACGCCGCGACGACGACGCGAGACCGTTTTTCCCGCGGCTGGCTGCCGCCCTGTGCCGATAGTGAATTTCCTTCCTGGGCCGATCGTTGTTCCGGAAATCGCGCACTGGTATGCAGAGTAAAATGCAAACGTTCAGCGGGCTCGCCTTCGGGAATGTGTTCAGGAAAAAGGCAGGTTTTCCCCACAGCGCCCCGGTGTGTTTCGGACAATGCGTTCTCTTATCAAATATTCAACGGATTTAAATGTGGCACTTTTACATAAATTTGTTTTATATATGAATGTAGAATTGTAGAACGAAGAATTGAAAGCTAAATCTAGGAAAGACTTTAAATTTGAAAAACTAAGAAATTTTCTATTAGATATCTTCGTTATTCGCGTTGTCATCATTATTAGTTTTAACTATATTCCGATTCCGGGATATGATACGTTTTATGGGAATAAGTACTTTTTTATTTATTACGAAAAATGTGTGTTGACTACATACATCGTGATCGTTCACTATTTTTTTACGATTAAATACAATATAATTCGTATATTAATTAATGTTTTAATACTTTAATTGGCAAATTAAATTAAAATTATTTGATGAGTAATTCGTTTGGAACTGTTTATTTATCTGCAATTTTACGCGACAGCAATTTTTTGCACAAACTTTCTAGCTTGTTACTGCTTGTTGGACAGTGTCGAGTATCAAAAGTGTTATCTTTAAATTCATTTCAAAGATAATTCTTTCATTTTGTACTTGCTTGTGGTTTAACATTCGACGATTGGAAAGCAAGATCTTTCCTGATTTATCAGCGTATATTTATCAGATGTAACCGATACGATAACCAAAGATAGAACAACTTTTCAGCACACGATAGTTTCGATTGCGCGGAATACGACGCGACGTACAGATAACTGCGTACGGTCAGTATCGAATGCGCATTAATTTTGTGCAGCGATACATAGTATCATTGTAAATGACATAGAAAAATATCACGTAATAACTTAACGTGATTCAAGTTATGAAATATCAAACATCATTGCAATCGATATGCCTTTTGATGCGAAGATCAATGTGTTCTTAACTTTTATAACCTAATCCCCACATATTGACAAATTCAATTAAAAAAATTATATACAACTGAAATTTGGGTTTATTAAACTCGATTTATAACTAAGTGTTGGTTTTATTATGACAATTATAATTTTTTGTAAACAATTAAGATTGGAAAACGCCAACACGATCAAGCAATATTTTTTTTTATTTTTAGAATATTATAATTTCTGTATATACATATTTTTATGCTTTATTTTACATACATTTCGCATATATTTTAATATTTATATAAAGTATTAAAATTATTTCAGAAGAAATTAATACATATTACAGTAATTTATATTCAACAATAATTGCGTGAATTTTGAAATAAATAGGGATTTTAATCTCACGAATTATAGCTCTATCAATATCATGCTTGCAATATTACATCAGGCTCAGTGTATATTTAATTTAAAGAATTATTATTATTTTTTAAAGAGGATGAATCTAATAGTAGCTTAACGAGACAAAAAATGGAAATCGACAAACTAGAACTTGAATCATTTCGTTAAAAACAGGGCAATTCTATATCAAACGGTACCTCGTACATAATTACTCTCTTTTATATCATTACTGTTCTCGCATTCATTCGAAATAATGAATAGCTTTTGATGAAAAACGAGAAATGCTATTAGGAAAATGAAAGAAATGAAATGCATTTTGCACGTCCCTCGATCCCTAAGGCGGAAATTCTTGTTAGAATAAGAGCTATAACAGTTTGTAATCTTTGACCGTGAACTTCAACACCGACCGACCTTTTCTCGCATAAAAGCATTCGTTATAAGCCATTATTCGCTCGCTATAAAGCCAATCAATTGACAAAAATTGGTTTACTTTGAAATGCAATACACTCTGCAAAAGTGAAACAATTTATCAATATATTCCATATATTAGAATGAAAATTGATGCTTATATATTAAAAAATTATATTATAGACTAGATTTTTTAATAGAAATACATTTTTTAATTTGTAATCTATTATGTTTTCAGAACAAAATAAATAGCTTTTCATTGTTTTATAGACAATAAAAATTATAGACAATAAAATTTTAATCTCAAAACGATAAAGCATCCTCCAAATTTGTTAATTTGCTTCGTCGCGCGAAACAATTGCGCAAAACAACTTCCGTATTATCGCACGTTTATGCCGCGTTTTACATATCTCTTTAAGCTCTCTCAGTACGATAGTAAATACTGGGTTTCCTCGGGAGACAATGTGTAGGATCGTCAACTTTGTTTATCAAGTGTACGTGATCGCATGCGCATATTCTGAAGACACACGGCGACCAGCGTGACATGAAAACTCGGACCGACGACGCGACGCGACGCGACGACGACGAGTGACGGCAACTTCGTAATAGTTCATCAGATCGTGTTTTACATCTATTTTTATCTGCAATCTGCGGACACACATTTCGCTTTACTACACCTCTTTAGAATACGTTTAACTCGCTTATGTGTACTACCTGCCATACATACTGCGCAGATGCGTTATTGATTACGCAATGTTTTATCATGCATTCAGCGTTAGATATTTTGACGAACAACCTTCAAAGTAAAACTGGTCGTTGAGGAATATTTTACATGAAATTAATTACGGATCAATTTTCTAATCAACGTTTTCCGATATTTGAAAAATGTTTACAGGTCATAATTCTCAATGTCAACTTCGTGAATAAATTACTTTCGTTTAAATTTACGTTAAGGAAACTTCCGCATCTCCCGATTACCGATACAGAACCGATATAGAATACTGTTGAAAAAGTCGGTAATTGCTAATTAGACGTTCGACGTTAGGCGCGAAAAAGTTCCGAAAGCGGAACGATCGAGAAAGCGAATGATGAAAGCTCGCATAACTAGTTGGTCGGTTTGTAATAAAGCGAGAAGAAGGGGATCTGATTGGATTCATTATGCGACGCCAACGTGGTTCATTTGTTCGGCCGACTTAACCGCAATCCAAGATAAACCAAAGCATTCGTGTCTACGACTTTCCTCGCTCATTCGAATAACCTACTTTATAACTGTGATCGAAAATGATTAGAGGAAACTATTCGTTCACGTGTATCTTTTTTACAAGATTCACGGGCCCATCTACATGTCGTTCAGCAAGTAAAGTGACACATGCAATATACATTTTATGTTCTAATGGGATTATTAGAATCTTTTTTTAATATTAAATTTAATTAGAATGCTCGTTGAATATTTTATGTGAAATTAATAGATAATTCATCCATTTTTCAATATCTCAAAATTCTAATAAATTATAGTTCTCTAATTTTTGATATTGTATAACTGCAAATAAATTATACTTGTTTACATTTGCGTTTTAATGTGCTTTAACGAGTATTCTTTTATTTCTATATTAAGTACTGAATATCTTTATACAAAAATCAAACATTTAATTTTTAAATTTATTTAAAACTAATAATTAAAGATTGTATATTATGAATCTGGAAAATTTATAATTTGTGAAAATTATTCCTCATCTCCAATTGATGGCTATACTTTTTTAAAGAAAATGAAGGGTAAGCCTACAAAATTTTAAGGTTTTGTTTCTACATGTTTCCAGTCTGTAACTGTCAGGACATTACAAAATTTTCTTACACAGTAGGTATACCATAATGAGGTATTGCACAGTTTTCTGATAATTTAAAACTGATTCGATTGTATTGGAACGAATCCGTGGTTTAAATCCGAAATAGATTGGAAATAATAAATAATAAATTTAAATCTAATTTGAATAAGTTTAATAAAAAATTAAAAGGTATATGATTAACAAAAGACAAAACAAATTACATTACACGCTACTAAATTAGTCAATTGTTTCCGTAAAATTTCGCTCATTAGTATGACATTAAACATTGGAACGCTAATTAAAAAATAATTTCCAGTAATTTTTAAAATAAAGGATAAAATTTAGTTTGAAACAATAAATCTAAAGGGCAGCTATTTGAAATAAAGGACTATCTTTTACAATAAAGAATATATAGCCACTTTCACTTGATTATATTCGAGAAATTATTTGTGCTTCGACATTAAAAAAAAATTATTTGTCATTGGTCAAAAAGAACTATATAGTAGAACACGTGTGCTTGTAGACATTTTCGATTCTGACAAAGATATAAAGAGACCTTCAATTTTCGCACGCATCGTGCCATAGATCATAGACAGCTCATGGCGATTTTTCGCGTTCCATTTATGTAATGTTAATCCGATCAGCCAGCGAGTGATCGATTTTTTACTTATAACCGAGTTAAATTAATACGAAGATAAGTAATTGAATTAAGCACACTATCACGAATTCCTAATTGGATTTAATTTATTTGTGATTTCTTAACTCTATTCAGAATGCATTGTAGACGTTATATATCAAAAATTTATTTATTATATTTTTAAATAGTGTTACAAAAGTGGATACGAATTATAAAAAGGAATTCTACAATAGATGTTCCAATATATAATTAACTTCAGAAAAACTTCTATATCCATTCATAATCGAAATAATAGTTTTTTATCTGAAATTTGTCATAGTTACTAACTTTCGTCCATTCGTTAATTATCTACAAGTTCTATTTTTAATATCTTTTATCTGCCATAGGCAAACAAGGTGACCGGAGGACCTCCTGTGGGCAATGCACCGCCACCGCCTACACTTATCAATAAAATCAAGTATCAACCTGGTGGACCCGTAATCAAAAAGGATAAACGGCAAAGCAGCTCGAGGTTCAACATATCGAAAAATCGGGAACTGCAGAAATTGCCGTTGTTATCCGGTGAGTCATTCAGTCGGGGAGGTACATCATAAAATATGCGTATTAAATTCTAAAAACTTGGCGGTGATGTCCTTGAGACGAATGAAGTTCTTTTTACAATACAAAAGTATAAGATTAATCACACGTGATAGCATTCTTGTTAGGTCAAATAAAAAAATGGTATGCGATCTTTTACATTTCTCACATTGCGTCACTGGTGATTTACATCGTATAATAAGAATGAAGAAGTATGTCATCTCTCGAACGTGTTCACGTACGATATACTTGTTTTGCGATTGTTGCAAATAGCTTAGAATCTAAGATGAGCCTGATCAACAAGTAACATATAAAGAAATCATTATACACAAGAAACTAGTTCACGTAACACTGCAGCGATCATGAACGGACAATTAGATCGGGATAGAGATCGAATGCGCCGACGTGAAGCGTGAGAAAACAAACAATGGAAAAATGGATAAGACGCGAAAAAGATAGCAGGAAGGAGAAGAGAGGAGAGGATAGGAGAGAAGGGCGGCGACAAATTGGTCCGCCTGCCCTTTCCCAATGTAATGCCGGTCAATCGAGGTTGCGAGACTATACCTCCTACGTCAGAGTCTATCGATTGCGTGCGACGAGGGTCGCGCAGGCGCCACGGATTCATGATTCCCCGTTTTCCCAACGTAAACAGTCGGGTTCCGCCCCCCTCATCCCCGTCCTCTTCCCCCCTCCCTTTCATCCCCGCCACCGTTTCGGCCATCCCTTTCTGATCCTTCTTCTCCAACCGCTCCGAGAGACCAGCGCCCGAACACCCTCGCGGCACCCTCGCGAGAGAGAGCCCCACCTGGCCGCGGCTCCACCTGCACAGAATCTCGACGAAGGGGGGTTGTATCGACCCCGTGACCGATCGAGAGATGACCCGCGAGATCCCGGCGAGGACCCTCGAGGTCGTTGAACCTGCGGTGCCACTTAGGCGAATCTCACCCGCCAGCCTGCCCCCCTCTCCTCGCCGCCTCCCGCCGCCCCTCGCGAACGCGGTCACCGGGTTCCGGGGACCCGCGAGGACGTGCCGCTAGTGCTCGCCGGTGTTTCACGGGGGTGGCTTCGCAGCGCGAACATCCCGAGGAGAGAAAGCCCGACGAGAGAAGAGCCTTGCCTTCCCCGGCCCCGATCGATTGACACGGACGAAGCAACAGATTGTTGCGAGCGTTAAACAACGACGGGAATTAGCGGCGGATAGACTCCGATGGTGTCGACGGGGTTGTTATCGCGAGTCCGTGGGAAAATCCGGTTAAGGGCGGGCGCGACCGGCACGCGAAGCTCCGAGGGCTTCGAGATCGTTGGTTTGGGAAAAGTGAACTATTTCGGATAGATGTAGAGCAGATCGGGGAAATACTTGATAAAAATACTCGCTTGATTGAATAATTTACAATCGGTTTAAAAGGATAATAGATATTGAACAGAGATGGAGGAAATTTTAAAACCGATCGATGAGTTGAAAGTTTAAAAAAAATTTCCCTATCAGAAATTAGTGAATCCTTTCCCTTAAAAACGCTTTCGGTCGAAAATTGGTGAGTCTTGTGATTTAGAAGTTTTCCAATTGAGGAAACGAAGTTTAGTGACTTTTAAGCTCGAAGATTCTCAGAGATTGGTGAGTTTTGTGATTAAAAAAAAAATCATTTCGTGTTTCGGATTTAATACAAAGCAATATAAGAGCGATTAACTTTTATTTAAATCTTAATGTTCGATGTTTGTATTTACTATACGCGGAATCAATTAAGATATGTGAAATTGCAATAGAATTGTGATAGAATTGGACTAAATGTAGAATAAAGATTCGCGTAGAATTTTCATGTACAATATAGTTTTGGAAAATTGATTTTATATTGTGGTACACTTTGCGAGAAACAATAAATTGAAAGTCTGATCGAATTATTAATAAGAGTTATAAATGATTCATCTGTACACAGATTATTGAGTGCTTGATTAACTTGAATAAAATATAGATAATTATTATGCTGTTGATATATTATGGAAAATTGGAAATATATAAATAATATTAATAAATATACTTACATGTAGAGAGGAAGTTAATTGGATTTATTAATTTACGGAAAACAATAACAAATTCCGCGTATAATTCAACGCGTATTAATTTGTACATTTATAAAACTTATGTGTGTAGAATAATTCAATATTACATTTGCTTATACTCTGAAATATCAAACTCACTTTGTGTGAAAATATTCTTGCAACTGTGCTACAACGGACAATTCGTGTTGCTTTGCATCAAAGTACAGTTACGTTTCTGCATGGTTTGGCAAAACGCGTAAAACCATGCGCGTTTCCTTCGTAAGCGCGAGCTATGCGGAAAATAACGTGGGAAGCCGGTAAAAGTGACTTGTCGAAGGCCGACAATCGCCGTGGCTAATAAAGTTATGCGTCGCATTTCGCCAAGTAAATTGGCGGATGATTGTGAATTACGTAATAAAAAACATTCTCCGGAAATTGGTTTCCGTCCGAGTGGATTAAATCCGTAAATCCGGCAATATAAAAATTGATAAAGAGCCGAACAAGGAAACTTAAAGTCATTTAATAATTATAGCATAAAATCTGCGAAAGTTGACGATTATGGAAAATAATTTGTAACTATCGTTTTTCCTTTTAGCATTAATATTTTCTTTGATTACATATGTGATTTTACGCAAAATAGAGAACACTTAAATAATTTAGAAAAGGAAAATTATACAGTTTATGTTTTTCGGCATTTCTGCACGTTCGTGGAAACTCAAACTATTCCTGCTAAAATTAAAAGAAAATTATTATCGTGTACTATTTTCCTAAACGTGTTTGTCTGAATTGATATACATACATTATATGAAGTGTTTATTTCCCAGCTAAGGAACTCTTTTGGCAATCGACTTGAAAGAGTTCATTCGGTAAACAGTCCTCGAATAATACTGATTCACTGCTGTTAATTAAGAAGAAAATATCGATGTTCTGTAAATAAAATTTTAATCTGACGCCGTATATCGAAAAAAAAAAGCGAAATCGCGGAATATTGATCGCGATTTTGACGTCAAGTGGAGACCGACCCTCGTCGAGTGTGTGAATCCAAAGTGTTGCAAATTGCATAAGTTACTGAGAGACGATATCGTGAATAGCTTGTGCTTGCCCAAGTCGAAGCGTTCGAAGAGATTCGCCGATGAATAAGGTGCGAGTGTAAAGTCGGTACTGAGTAACATAATATTGCGCGATGGTTCACGTGGGTGGAATTGGCCCGTCTCTGGGCGGCGCTCTGCCCAAAAGTCCCAGCTTTCATCAGGGTCTCGCTTTGGCGACGGTCTTGCCCCAGGACGCGGGCAAGGGTTACCCGGTGACGTTCGCGCTGCACTATCAACCCTTGCAACCTCTTCTAATCGGTAAAGCTCTTTATGCGTTCAAATCACGTTTTGAGAATCTCATTTTTACGAATTCGATTGCACTTAAACTTTTATCATCGCACCTGACTTTATTGTAGAACTGATCTGTGCACCTGATCATTTGTTATTAATAAAACGGAGGGATTATGTTGATAAATGTAATCATTGAAGGATTGATTTAGTACACTTCCTTTATTTTTGTAAAATTATCAGTATTCGATTGTGTTCCGCGAGGATGATGTCCATGAAATGGTCGGCTCGCGATGAATTCGGCAATCGATCTCGTTACTTCTATTATTATTACATAGACTGCTAGGAATAGTAAGCGATATAAATAATGCCACTCGGTTGCAGTCGCGATATTTTGAAGGTCGTTATCGATCTTCTGTCAGAGCCCACTCGATTAATCGGTAAAAGCAGAACGCCTTTAAGATTTCAGATCAAAAGTCTGCTACCGGCATGCCATTATAGCTCGTATAAATATTAAAGGCAATCCTCCGCGACACACAGCACGCTTTTTGTGCCGAGTATTAAAGAAATGGAGGTCGATTAACATCTGAAATAACTGTCTATGCAAATCGGATTGTTCGAAAGAAGCAAATAGAATATCGATTTTGATCGCGTGCTGCATTTTTATCGACGGCAAAATTACATTCTGGGTACTCTCATTCTTATCGGACGTCCTTTATTAAGTTGATTTGGCCTCTTTACTGGAAATTATTTCAAAAGAGAATATTATTATTCTGCATATTTATTAATACGTGATGTATTTTTATAACATGGATAAAATACATTCATATTATATATTATATTATATTGTATATAAGAACTTATAATCGATAATATCTTGACGCTGATATATGAAACATAAATTAATTCCAAAGATTTAACTTCGAGAGTCATTTCTCACGTATGTCAAGAGGGTCAGTTAGGCAGGTAGGAGAGCTATTTGTAGCAAAATAATTCAAACGAGAAAAAATAATGAGTAGCGCAAAAAGGATACATTCGACTGTGTACCCTTTCGTATTGGCGTGCATCGATATTCTTGCAGGCTAATATGATTAATAGGCGTAATGCTGTTCTCACTTCTTGAGGTATACAAGCTGCTGAGTGCGGCGCGATTAATCATCGGCTATCTGATTCCAGAAACACAACAGGGAAACGAGCGGGAGGAACTTTTTATACAGAAGCTACGGCAATGCTGCGTCCTCTTCGACTTCGAGTCCGATCCGTTGTCGGATTTGAAATGGAAGGAGGTAAAGCGCACTGCCCTCCACGAGATGGTCGAGTATGTAACCAAAAACAAAAACGTTATTACCGAAGCGATATATCCCGAAGCGGTAAACATGGTAAGAGCAGCATATACTCTGATATACTTCGTGTACGCATAAGAGCATGATGAACTTTTCTAATTTCATTAAGCTATTTGCAGATTAAAGATACAAGATTATGTAAATGCTGAGAAATTAGTTTGTAAAGATAAACCTTAATGAAAAATATAGTTGTACGGACTAATATAGGAACAAAAAAAGAAAAAGAATTAATAATGTCAGAAAGGAGCATAATAAAGTTAGCTTGTATAAAAATATAAGAAATATTCTTAACATTTACATTGTCTCTATATCGTTAAAGACGGCATAAAATATATGATAGATACACGGAGAGAATTTTTTTTTAAATTTACCAATTTTAAATTTGCAAATCATGTTAATTGCGGGAAGATATAGTATTTAGGCAAATTTTACTGTGCACTACAATAGATTTTATTGTATTTTACTACTGTCAAATTTATTGTAGTGCACAGTAAAATTTTCCTAAATACTATATTGTCCCACAATTAACATGATTTGCAGGGTAAATTTAAACAAAAATTCTCTCCGTGTAGAATAGAAACGTAATATAAATAAAATGGTGCCTCGCGAGGGAATAAAGTTGAAAGGTTTTACCGAGACGACGGAAATCCTTGCAGTTCGCCGTGAATTTATTCCGGACGCTACCCCCGTCATCAAATCCTAATGGCGCGGAGTTTGATCCGGAAGAGGATGAGCCGACGTTGGAGGCGGCTTGGCCGCACTTGCAGCTCGTCTACGAATTCTTTTTGCGGCTGCTGGAGTCGCAGGACTTCCAGCCGTCCATAGCGAGACGTTACATAGATCAAAAATTCGTGCTGCAGCTCTTGGAGCTGTTCGACTCCGAGGACCCGAGAGAGAGGGATTTCCTTAAGACGACCCTCCATAGGATTTACGGAAAATTCCTGGGACTCAGGGCGTACATTAGGAAACAGATCAATAACGTTTTCTACCGATTTATTTATGAGACGGAACATCACAATGGCATCGCAGAACTGCTTGAAATTTTAGGAAGGTAATAATAAGTTCGATGCAATATGTTGCACAATGTTGAGGAATCTATAAGACGTACTCATCAACCGTGCTCGTTTATTTTCTTTGCAGTATTATAAACGGCTTTGCTCTGCCGTTAAAGGAGGAGCACAAGGTGTTCTTGTTAAAAGTCCTGTTACCCTTGCATAAAGCTAAGTCATTATCCGTTTACCACCCGCAACTAGCGTATTGCGTCGTTCAATTTCTGGAGAAGGATCCGTCGTTGACGGAGCCCGTGATTAGAAATCTGCTGAAATTCTGGCCAAAAACACATTCCCCTAAAGAAGTTATGTTCTTGAACGAGCTTGAAGAGATCTTGGACGTCATTGAACCAGCTGAATTTCAGAAAGTCATGGATCCGCTGTTCAGGCAATTAGCCAAATGCGTGTCATCGCCGCATTTCCAGGCAAGTACGCAATTAACGTTATTTTGTTCTGCGCGACGTCTAACATGTGTGCGCATTTGTGTTGTTTCAGGTGGCGGAAAGAGCTCTCTATTATTGGAATAATGAATACATAATGTCCTTGATATCGGACAATTACTCCGTCATCCTACCGATAATGTATCCAGCTTTTTATAGAAACTCCCGCAATCACTGGAACAAGACGATCCACGGTTTAATTTACAACGCTCTGAAACTTTTCATGGAGATGAATCAAAAAGTATTCGACGAATGTACGACACAATACTATCAGGTATATTTGCAGACACGTTATTTACGCACACTTGCGCATAAATAAATCATTAAATTAACTAGTATTCAGCATTAAGTGAAAATGCCAAATATATTTTAACGAATCTCGATATCATAATCTCAAAACTACATGACTCCACGTTGATGTGATTAGAAACATCAAGACATTAATATCTCACTTTATCATGTTTATTTTGATCCAAAAACTGTGTAGGAGCGTCAAAGAGAACGGAAGCTCATGAAGGATCGGGATGAGGCATGGATGCGCGTGGAAGCGCTCGCGATGAGGCATCCGAACTATAATTTGGCAAATAAAGGCACAACGAATAACACATCCTACACATCAGCGCAGCATATAGATAACTCACCGCCCGACGAAGATGGTGATACGGATCAAACTCCGCTTACCTTGGAGAAAATCGAAGCTAGAGCCAATGAGGTATGGAATTGATATTTATTGTTATTGCTGGTTTTTTTTTTTTAATTGGACGCTCCATTATATACGAAGCGTCCTCGATATTTTGATGTGTTTAAAAGAAAAGTGTTTTGTTTATACAGGCGAAGAAAATGACAAACGTGAACAAAGTGAAACCGCTTTTACGAAGAAAGAGCGATTTACCGCAGGATTCGTACACAATGCGGGCATTGTCCGATCACAAACGCGCCGATGAATACCTTGTTACGCCGCCAGATCCCAATAATTGCTAGTCTCTACCGCAACCCCTTCCCATGTATCCTCTGTTTTGCTGTAGCAACATCGGAAGTTAGCTTTCTTTCTTGGGGGGAGAAACGGCGATAAGAACGCGAATAATTTGGCTGACAGTCCCATTATGCGAAATCAGCGACGTATTATCATCTCAATGTATATCGTCATATTTGCTTTTTTTAAGAAAAGAAGAGAGAACCTTACTTATCCCGCCGCGCATATCGTGCGATTCAAAGATACAGTGTATAGGTACTCGTAGAAGCTTGCAGAAGAAACTCGTTCTTCATTAGAAATGCGTTGTATTTATTTCTTCATCTACGAGAGAAAAAGGCATATTGCGGTTTATAGGAACTGTAATAGCATCATCATAAAAAGCGCGCATTATTAGTGAGCGAAAAAGGCCCTAAAAATACATTTACTTGTAGAATCGCCATTCATCGGAAACATTCTGAGGTGCTACCCTCTGCTATGTCTCAACAATAAGATAATATATGAATAATGTACGTAAACGAGATTTAATTGTGGATACTACGGTTGTAATGGATTTGGTTCTATTCTACAAGAGATTTTATATACAGATGAGGGTTATGTGCGGGGGAATGTGATCGAAGATATAACACGTATGCTCTCGATGTTGTAACCCATAACTATTGCGCTATGCGAGCTTGTTGTGTTAACATCCTTGCGAATGACGCGTTTCCATTTATGTGCAAATGATATATATACATATATAGATATACGTACTTGCTTTAACACTACAGGCTCGTTGTAGTAAGAGAAGAAACAAATAAATGAAGACGTAAAGAGGGGAGAAGAGTACACGCCGGCGCGCGTTATCTTAGGATGTATATGATAGTGCTATTTTAAAAATAATAGATTGCTACGAGAAAATCTGGATACTTCTGAGTGTACTACTTTTGTATCTGTTGTGCCTAGATGCCTGTGGAAAAACAAAAAAGAATATGCCTCCGCGCGGGGCCTATATACTACGAAAACAGCAAGATTAAGCAGCGAGTTTACATGTCGCTTTGCCAAATATAATCGATATTACAAGAATTTCAGTAACGCTTGCATAACATGTTGTGTTGTTAACTCATTGATCTTGAGATTAATTGAAAGATTATACTGTTGCGGCCCAGAGGTAGGAGGGAGAGGAATAAAAGAGAGGAGAAAGGAGAAAAAGATTAAACAATTTAGTCTTTGCGCTGCTGGCAGGTTGTTACGTTAAATAATTGTCGAGGATACCTTGTTGAACATAGATATGATAAGCACTTATATTAAATATTAGAAATTAAAACTACGGAAGATAGATTTAAAGATATTATTATTTACTTATTAATTATTCCTATTCAAGAGAGAGAGGAATGGCCATTTCAGCTAATTGATCATTAATTAGTGGTATAAATATCATTATAATTATTAGTTATTGTATTATTTTTATATAGTAACGAGACGAATAATGACGAAAATAGGGTAATAGTAATAATGTAGTAGCTGGTACATGTGGCAAAATGCCTTGAATCCGTTTAGTCTATCCGGAAATCTACGTTTTTCCCAAATTAGATCGATAATGAATAAATCACGCATTTCTTAGAAAAAAAAAAAATACCGTCACGTATCAGAGAGAAAGAAAGAAAGAGTGGGAGAGAGAGAGAAAGAGAGAGAATTCTTAATTATACACCGTTATGCACAGCAACTTCGAAAAGACATCGAATCAGACAGTCTCCGCGGATGTGAATGTGTACGCCTGCAAAAGCTTAAGTCGAATCGTAGAGGACCGGAAGAGAAAGGAATAATCGTAATAACACTACAATTAATAATAATAACGCCGTTATTAAGAGGATATAGAGTTGCCGGATCGTTTCAATATAATAAAGACGTTAAATCTTGCATGGTACCGTGGGAGTTCTTTCATACGTATTATGCGTAAAGCGTTTATAGGAGCGTTCTCATCCGCGTCGTGCATCTTTTTATTTCGACAATGATCCAAACGGGGATTGGAACCGGTATAATTTCGATTTTAGGTCTCGACGCCGTCTTAGAGCATGTTCTAAGGATGCCATAAGTATCCAAAAAATGATTCACATTTTTTTTTATTCGTTGACAATAGAAACGTGACAATCGAACGACTTCTCAGCTCTGTAATTGAAAATTGAATCGTACCGATCTCGATACGATCCGATACAGAGACCTTCAAACAGCCGCACGAAAACGGGCCTTCTTTCTTCTCGTGCGTCTGCAGCCTCTATTTTATACATCGAAATAATACCGATTCTAATCTTTGAAAATTCAAATCGCCAGAAATCGTAGTCAAAGAGAGTATCTCGACTGAATATGCAGTATAGGGTTAAACAACATTCTCCATCTCCATGACTTTCTCGAGCGCATTCAAGAGCCCTCAATTGAATCTATTTATATGCAGCGAGAAAAGACCTCGTCGTGCGCAGTTTGCATTTCATGTACCTGCATATATCGTGTAAATAATATAATTATTTTTGAACGCATTCTTCCTTCTCAGTTCCAAAGACACGCTCGTCCCGGTGAGCGTCGTAGTAAAAGGATTTAGCGCGAACTCTTTCCGAACATTATTTTATTTCTCTACCTGTTATAATAATATAAAAAGAACAGTTCGTATTTTTGCAAACAATAAGAATAAGGTCAATTAAACGGGCAAAATTGGGTCACAAATTAAAATAACATTTTATTCATAAGAATTAATTACGTCAATCTTAGAGATCTTGATGAAAAGATACAGAAGGAAACATAAGTGTTCTTAATGAGTAATTATTAGCTTTACGTTTATTACACAATGTATGTAATTCTTGTGAATTAAATATTGTCTTTTCTATAAATATCTCTCTCTCAAATCGGACCTTCATAACTGGAAATCGTGGTCTCGCATTTTGTCGGGTGCATTTTCTGCAATCACTCGGGAGCGCACTGGAATTGCCTATATGGTGGTCATGGCGCGTCTGCTTTCTGTACCAAAGATCCAAAATTCAAATCAACATGTCAGATTGTTTTCGATCCACCATCTCTCGGAAGGTAAAACCGCCGGGAGTATTCCTGCCAAGACACACTACACAATATATAGAAATTTACACAAATGGAACAGCAGGATTTTCAAGGACAATTCGTGCGCTCTCGATTGTATAAAATGTAGACCACGAGCTTCAATCGTGAAAGACCTGACGATTATACAACATTGTGTAATAAACGTAAAGCTAATAATTTCTCTCTCTAAAACATCTGTTTCTTTTATTCATTTTTTCATCGAGATCTCTGAGATTAATGTAATTAATTAATATTAATTCTTATAAATAAAATGTCATTTTATGACCTATTTTGCTCGTTTAATTGACCCGACTCGTTTTCTTCTATCTTTTATTCTCTCACAAAATTTTTGTAATCGTTTATGAACTTGTCGACAAAAATTTAAAGGAGAAACTTGTCATTTCATTTTTTTTTAACTTCTATTCACGCAGATTTTATCTAATTTTCCCTAGCGAGTCTACAACTGTATGTAACGTGTGTAATCACTTTGGCAGATGCGCGCAATACGTATACACAGAACTCTTAAGAAAAAAAAAAAAGAAAGATCTCTATGTAAATGGATGAACAAACGGTGGCAATATTGTACAATGTCCGTGCCGCAATCCGAATTCAGAGGGATGAAGTAAGGGGAAACGGAAGAGAATATCAGAGTATCGCATAGACGTATATAAACAGACTTTACAAACATAAATTTCGCTGAGGGCATCTCAGTTGTAAACAAAGATAACACATTTTCTATGTGATATTTAAATTAATTTATATTAATTTAAACTATCCTTATTATACCGAATATATTATATTATATGGAGCGCATCACGAATCCACGAGAGGGAAAAATCCGCTGCTCTCTGTGGGACTACGGAGCAATTTCGTTACGTCCGTTCCATTTGGATGTCGTTCGAACGATCGAATATCGAATTCGAGCGATGATATTTCGTACACGTATCTGCAATTTGTTAAAAACATAGTTTTATAGTAAATAAAGAGGATTACGAGAAAAAAAAACAGATGCATTCTTACGTTGAGAAATGTTCTTGTAGCAATTTCTAGGCTTTAAATCTTATAAAATGTGCAGTATCGAGTAGCAATTTTTCAATATGCAAAACTGCATATTGAAAAATTGAATTTTCTCAAATTATTTCAAAATATATGCAAAATATTGCCTACGATATATAAATAAAATAACCGACAATAATTTGTAGAAAGACGACAGAAAGATTCCAGTGTCTTTTATCGCATTGGCAATATTTCAATTTTTTATTGACTAAAAAAAAAGTGCTGTTTACATAATTATAAATGTGTAGGAGCAGGACGTAAAGATGCAATTGCAATTGATTGAAATGTTAAATTTCGATGATCGAAAAAAATACAAAAATGTGCTTCCAACGAATGTATATTTCTATAATCTGAAGAGCTATTATATATTAAAACTTTAAACAAACTGCTATATTCTTTAAATTATAATTCTTCTAATATAGTTTCTCATTCGCGTTAAGTGGAAAGTTAAAACATTGCTAAAGATCAGGAAGACATTACGTAAAAATAAGAAAGTCAATATCGCCGCGGGTTTTCCCCCGATGGGAGAGACTTGTTATTCACGTCCGAAGGCAGAACGGAACGTTTATTGACAATATCGCTATACCGTTACCGGACACGTGTCGGGCTCGTCATTATGCTGACATAGGCGTGACACGTGTTCTGTCAGCGAGGATTCACGTTATATCATATTATTAATTATTGTGTTTATCGCGGCCGCTTTCCCTCGCGGCTCGGCTCGCTGCAGTGCCGGAGTCGAGCGTGGAATGACGGCACGGAACGAACGGCCGTCATCATGGGCAGCAAGATATTCTCGCCGTACTTCGTGTCCGGGGTCATCGTCAAGGGCTTCGGCAGGGGCTCGAAGGCGCTCGGCATTCCGACAGGTATCCCTCGCCCTCGCAAACACGGACACGTGTCCAGCGGCGGTTTAAAAACCCCTCGAAACAACGGAACGTCGAGCGTCGTATTATGACGTGTCAATGTTCGACGTTTCTTTCTGTTATTAAAAACTAATCGCGAGCGGTTCTCGCACGAACGTGTTTCCTCTCGTCCTTCTTCCCCGTTCGAGTGACAGTTAAAAACCTGTATAAAAACCGCGTATAGCACCGTTCGAGACACGCCTCGCTAGAGGTTAGGGTGTTGTTTTTCTTTTTTTTTTACAACTTGGCGGGACGATTTCGAATCGATATATATATATATATCGGTATTTGTTTTAAAATCCCCCCTCCCCCCCGGATTTTGAATCCTCCGCCTCGAAACCTATTTAGATGCGATATTTTAAGGAATAAAATAAATTGAAAAACTAAACTATTACTGCGACTTGTCCCGCTTGACGAAATATATTTACTAAAACGAACTTTTGGCGAACAATGTTACAAACACGCCGTGTGTTGAATCAAGGTGCGTTTGCCACGAGCGACAAACATAAACTAATTAAGTAGTTTACACTTGAAATGCATCTCCGTCGCTTCTCAAAGAGGAACTTTGATAACGTGCGCCGAATTCCAACGCATGATAACGCGCACGTACGAAACGTCATTTTTTACCACACATGTCATTCTTCTCAATTTTAATATATATAGCTTTTATTGATTTTTTTTTTATTATAATAATGAAACTGAAGAAGGAATTTTTAAATCATATATCGGAAAATGTATTAATTATTATGATAAGAAATAATTGTTCAGATGTATGTACTTTTTATAACAAAATGCAACGTCATGGAAGGTTCAAATGATAAAATCATCAATCAACGATTATATGACACGTTCTCTAATATTATAAACTATAAAGGCTGCGTTCGGGGAGCGTGCTATCAGTGTTATTGCACCATTTCATTTTTGTTTTACGATTATCTTGCAGATAATTAATGATAAAGATGAAACAACAAAATAGTGCTGATAGCTTCCCACGCAAACGCAGCCTAGTTAAACAGTAGCGGTCCAATCTTTATTTTAAATGCGGAATGCGCAAAAAATGCATTTTTCCAAACATAATCAACTGATATTTTTTGTGGAATCTTAAATTCAACAGTCGATTCCACAATCGATCTTACGTATATTTTATAATATATAATTTTAATTTTTTTCTTTTAAAGATTGAAAAATACTCTACACTTATTATGAATCCGTAGTTGATCAAAATAATCTTCTTGATGTTTGCATTAAAATTTTAATCATAATATATCGAATACAATATATTAATATAGAAAGAATTTTCCAGAAAATTTACACGTTTTTTCTTTTTTTTTACAAATATCAGCCAATCTTTCAGAATCTGTAGTCAATTCTTTGCCGAAGAATTTAAGCACTGGAATTTACTATGGCTGGGCAGCCTTGAATGGAGAAGTTTACAAAATGGTTGCAAGCATAGGATGGAATCCATATTACAAGAATGAGAAAAAATCATTGGTATGAAAAATAATTTCAAAGATATAAAACTAAGTTTCTTGCTTAAATTAAATCTAAACTCACTTTAAATTGCATTCTAGATGTATAAGATATTTGAAGTATTTTATTACATTTAGAAAAGTATCTTAGTGTGTTTTAACAAATTATAAATTATAATGATTTTGCAGGAAGTTCACTTGTTACATAAATTCGAAGATGATTTCTACGGCGAGGAGCTTAAGGTTATCATTGGCGGATACATAAGACCGGAAAAAGATTTTTCTTCTTTAGGTAATGGACACTATCATAATAATGACATAAAATGTGTGCAAATGATTACTATTCTTTCAAAGTAATTTAAAATGGCTATTATTTTAAGATTGCTACTACTAATAATTTAGAGACTTTTATATTACTTATTCTTGCAGACGAACTTATCACAGAGATAAAGAATGACATTGCAATAGCGGAAAGTCAATTAGAAGAACCTGTTATAAATAAGCTGAAAAATGATGACTTTTTAATGATCAAAGCAAATCAGTCGTAAGAAAAATGTAAGGCTTTATTTGATAAAAGAAGTATTTTTGTTACTTTTTATTGCATACTTATTAAAAATTCCTCTGTAAATATGTAAGTATTATTGTAGTCTTAAAAGAAATAGAATCGAGATTTATAATAAATTTGGAAAAAATGCCGATGAAATATTTCATAATTATATTCACAAAACTGCATTTTTATACATAGAAAATGAGATTTAAAAAAAATACCACTTATGCACAACAAGTACAATTATATTTTAATATCCTATTTTAATGTCCTATTAATATATTCATATTAAGATATATTCGACATTAATCATTTAGATGAATTTGGATCATCAGTATTCGAATTCACTGTACTTGAGGTAGATGGAGAAATTGATTGAGACCAATATGTATTCGTCGTTGATACTGGTGGTTGCGTATAGAAAGATGTACTCGCATACATATCGGATGAATATGATGCAGCGGGAAATTGATAGTTTATCCCTACGAACAAACATATAATGTTGATTCTTGAAGATGGGCTAAAGGAGATTCTCGGATATTAATTTTGTATATTATTACTTTGGAAATTAGGCTCGGTACCTTGATAACATTGATTTGCGCCATAATGTGGCCCGTATGACGTATATGGTGGTCCTGCATATGCAGGTTCTGTTGGATATCCGTTGGACATCGGATACACGTTCTGCGGAAATGGCTGCCAATAAGCATTATTCTGATATGGGTATTGGTTCCACGATTCATTGTAGGAGTACGTTCCATTCTGTGCAGAATTAGAACGGTCACCCCAGCTTTGTTGCCTGTTCCAATTGCATCTCGGAGATTGAACCCTTCTATTTTGGTTCCACGGATGATTTGATCGCCAGCCCACTGTCGCGTTGTCGTGAGGACCTAAAAATCAATAATTATTATTAAATTGCTTGTGGCAACTGGTACTGAAGCACTGGTACTCGCAAGTACACTCACTCATCCGGCGTTGCCGTTTCCTGCCGTTAGAATAGTTTTTGTTATTCTTCTGCTTCAGATTTGCGTAATAAGCTTGTTCTTCCTCATCGTCTGAAAATTGCGGCGGCTCGTCATCGTCAACCGTATCGCAAGCTTTTATCCTGAAAGAAAAACATTTATTTAATGTATTTACTGTTAATGTATTTCATTTGAATATATTGTAGCATACACGATATTCGTCGGAGTACCAACTTTGTCAACTCGTGCATGAAAACGAGATGCGTGTACGACTTGTCCAACGGGCAATAATAAACCTGCATGCCTACTTCAATGTCATTATCTTGTATGTGCTTAGCATCATTGAAGCGAACGCAGTAATGCGGTTCCTTCACAGAGCCAAACACATCGAATACATGACCGAGCGCTTTTGTTCCCTTATTCACGAATAAAACTGTGTCCAGATCAAGTGTAGGCTCACCAGGATTGGGCTTTACGACCACTAATTGTTCCACTATCTTTTCGATCTGAAACATTCAAATATCCAGACGAGATTTAAACATTTAGAAATTATTGTTTGCTCCTACGATTATATTAATTTATCTCACAACTTTTTAAATGTCCACAAATATAAATATATAGTTGGTTTGTATTAATTATACCTTGCCTAATGGATTACACAAATCTTCGGGAACGCTAATTTTCAAGTCTTCTATTGGTGGTAGTTTATCTAATTCATTTTCTACATCATTTTTCTTCTTTGCTGGTTTTGCCTCGCTTCCTTTCTTTCTAAAAGTTAACATAAATCAAAAGTTTATTATTTTCACTCATGTAAAGAGAAATTAAATATGCATTAGAATTTTATTTTTATAGAAAGATAAGAGTACCTGTTATCAATATTTGCATCATCTGAATCACTGTCACTGTTATTATCACTACTGATGCTGCATCTGCTGCTGCTACAACTGCTGCTGCTGCTGCTACTACTATCGCTACTGCTATCATCTTGGCTATCAGTATTTTCACGTAATTGTCCTTCAGTACGATATTGTTGTAAGTTTTGTGTCTGTGGTACAGTATGTTGATTTTCAATTGTGGCATCTGTCTCCATTTCTTCTGTATTTGAATCCATGCCTTCATATGCTTTAGCAATAACGTCAAGAGAAGATTCTCCATCAAATTCTATCTTATCTAACAACAACAAAAATATGTATATGATATTTCAAATATAGTATATATTTAGTATTTTATAATTTATCTTATAAACTAGTTTTTAACACATTACAAATAGAAGTGAATACGCTTTTCACAAAGATATTTTAATAAAGCAATATGTAATTGTATCTACCTTGCTTTTGTAGTGATGAATTGCTTACAATTGTATCATCAGTTTGAAGGTTTACTGTTACAGACTGCTCAATTATTTGATCATTTATATCTCTATTTTGCACTATGTCAGTATCATTTGACACCTGACACTTCATAATTTCGGGAGATCTTTGTAAAACTTCATATCTAGCATCAGATGTATTTTCGTCAGCAGCTGTATAGCACTTACGTGCACTTGTCTCATCATTTTCCTTTGGCATTGATTGAACAATATCTTGAATATCAGCAGATACATCATAGCTATTAGATGCATTTTCTATCTTGTTTGCGTCTAATGTTATCGATGTGTCAGACATGTGAGACATGTCGCATTCATTTTCCCTATTTATTAAAGTTCCCTTCTCAGCGACGACTATTGTTTCGTTCTCTAACTTTTCTTCGGAGAACATTGCTTCATCTTTTTCTTTAAATGATCTTTTGTCTAGCTGTATTGTCTCCTCGCACTCTTCCTTCAACGAGTTTTCACCATGCGCTAACTGTTGCGACGTTAATAATTCTATCCCTGGCTGAAATACCTCTGTATTTTCTTTCGACGTTGACATGGTCGGTATTTCATTCGTCGGTATTTCTTCGTCAACAACTTTATTTGCATCTACATCGATTGTTACTTCCATTTCAACGCATAATCCTGGCCCACGTGAAACTTCGTAAAATGTATTACAAACTTTGTACGTATATAACGATCGTGAGTTGATAATGTTTGTATGCTACTTAGTTCAAATTTTCTTGTTTTTGATTAAATGTTATTATTTCATACAATTACACTGTTAGATAAATAAAAATAGTGTTTAAAGAAAGAAAGAAAAACTCACATGTTGACAGTGGTAACGACTCCACTTCACGGCCACGCACGTGCCATAAATCTGATGTCATAGATTTTATATCCAGCCGTTTGCGCATGCGTGGCGAATAGCAACACTGATCTGTATAGGACTGCGTTCGAAAACGCCACCCGAGTGCTTCCGTGTATCATTTTATCCTTGTTCAACATTCGGTAAACAAGGAGGATAACGTGATACATAGAGGCACTCAAGTAATATTTCCGAATGCAGCTGATCAGTAGCATGTGCAAAGCTTGTTCGGGTTGTTTAAATTCCTCAAAAATGTTGCACTTAAAACGAGATAAATATATATTCAAAGTATTCAAACGTTGAAAAGAGAGAAAGCGAAAAGTTTGAATGTATAAACCTTATGTCCGGTATTAAGAGCCGGAACACAGGCTTTTGCAGAAGTTTCGAAATACAATAGGTGTAGTAAGCCTTAAGCCGTAAAAAACTGACCAATCATAATCGATTATTCTTTTCACATTCGACTGCGATTGGTCCATTTCTTAGTCCCAAAACACAATAGATGTAGTAAGCCTTAAGCCGTAAGAAATTGACCAATCGCAGTTGAATTTGAAGAGAATAATGAATTATGATTGGTCAATTTCTTACGGCTATGCAAAAGTCTGTGTCTCGGCCTTAATCTGCATGGTAGAAATACATGTATTTTTACCATGGCCTTAAGGTTCATCTACAATGGCTGCGTTCCTCTTGGCGCCTATAACGCTTATAAGCATCATTTGTCTTTGTTTAATATTTGATAAACAACAAGGATGAAATGATTTTGTGAGCGCTGTAACCAGCTGTAAACGCCAAACGGAACGCAGCCAATAAGAGTAGTAAGTCGTAAGCCGTAAAAAATTGACCAATCACAGTCGATTATTCTTCTCATATTTGACTGTGATTGGTCAATTTCTTACGGCTTAAGGGCAAATTCACACCTTGACAGAAAAGCGGAAAACAGAAAAGCAGAAGCCAATCAGAACTCGCACTGGTAGCAAGAAAAGCAGAAAGCAAAAACTATCAACGCAAGTTTTGATTGGCTTCTGCTTTTCTGTTTTCCGCTTTTCTGTCAAGGTGTGAATTCGCCCTAAGACTTAATACTCTCATTGTAGACAGCCCTTTAAGGTCCATCTACAATGAGAATAGTAAATCGTAAGCCGTAAGAAATTGAACAATCAGAGTCGAATATGAGAAGAATAATCGACTGTGATTGGTCAATTTCTTACGGTTTACAACTTACTACTTTTATTGTAGATAGACCTTTAACCATCAGTTGCTCCAGGTCCAGACAGTGGCGGCTGACCAATCGCGAGAGAGTCGCTGATAGAGTCCTAGAAAACAGAGATGCGACATTGAAGGGTATGGTCTGATTGGCTGTCTAAATCACATGACAAAGCACCAATCAAATGATCAAAGCGCCATTTTAATTCACTATTGCACCTAATGCATCAAGATACAGCTTTGTAAAATATGTACATATAAATTATATAGAAAAAAATTAAGACAATACAGTGTTGAAATGCAATAAAAAGCTATTATTATGGTGTAAGTATTTTCTTTTTGCATCAACTGTCATCAGCTTATAAGGTTAGGAGTACTTTACTGAATTAAAATGGCGGTGACTACCTAACCTAACTGACGCCGTGTTGTATCTCTGTATTCTAGGACTCTAGTCGCTGATGTCTCGACCACAGTATAACCAGTAGGTCCACTTCGTGTCGGCACCTTTGATCTCCTTTTCCGGATCACGTGAGCATCCATCATGTTAAATCCAGGACCGAATTGAGAAAAGTGCCTCACAAGTAATAAAACAGATAAGTAATATGGATTCGATACAGTAAATCAATAAATTCAATGTGTAATAATCAATAAATTCAATCGAATAAAACGTTTTATTAGTAACAATTATTCGTAGGAGTGA